CATTCTCATTCTCAGCTCTGTGAATTCGACCATTTCCAAGAGTGTGAGAAAAGTCTGGAAGGCCAAGCAAGCTTCAACGGACGAGACGCGCAGATGGTGCATGATGGTGCCCATTTATACCAACAGGTCAGTAAGAATTAGACAAAATCTAATCATATAAATCTAGACTAGCTTTTTGGTAATGATGTAAAAACATTTATGATGGAAAACATGTCAATAATTGAATCGTTTTCTATTATTATCCTACCAACAGATGAATGGGATCTATGGCCTATACATCTGACAGGCATATCATGTGTCCAGAGGCATGTGTGCTGACTGTGACACCTGTGAGGTTCAGCACACATCTACAGCCGTCTCCTCCTCAGCGAACACAAACTGCTCTCAGCAGATTTACTGGATCAAATTTTGAAAATGGGTTGTTCTAAAGAAAAAGGATTCTGAAATCGGATTGGATCACAAGATCCAATCTTGTTTTTGATCTGGATCAAATTCTGTTGGTCAGTTTTGTGTTGTTCAAAACTTTTTTTGTAAGATTGGGCTTCCCTTGTTCCAAAAAATTGGATTACCCTGATCCCAGCAGAAAGGTGGATTTCAGAAACAAAAAATGTAATACAACTTTAAAACTGATAAAAAAAATACAACATTGTTATCATGTAATATATATGGGGTTTTTTGTTGTTGTTGTTGCTAGAAGTAGACATTAGACTACCTATTAAAGGTGCTCTAAGCGATGTCACGCGTTTTTTAGGCCAAAACATTTTTTCTCACATACAGCAAACATCTCCTCACTATCCGCTGGCTGCCTGTCCCCTGAACACACTGTAAAGAAACGCGATCTCTGCAGACAGCCCAGGCTCCACAAACAGCAACAAAAACAAACTGCGGCCACCCGCTCCCCGAAACATGACAAACAGTTCCAGCCAATCACCGACAAGAAGGGTTTGGGGGGTTAGTGTGCGGATGAGGAGGAGGGAGGGTCTAGCTAGCCTCCGTTTTGTTTGACAATAGTTCGAACGTCAACAAGAAGTGACGTCACCCAGGATCGCAAAAGGTGATGATACACAGGGCAACATTTTGAGCAATGTTGCTGGGCAATGTTGCCGTCAACGGGGAACCAGATGAGACACAGTGCCCACGACCGATCTAAATTATCCAGATAGAAACGTATTGCCCATTTTCAATGGGAAGGTGCCCAAGCAACAATCGCTCGGCAAGATTGCCCAGCAACATTGCTCAAAAAGTTGCCCTGTGTATCATCACCTTTAGAGAACCTTTAAGCCTTCCAGTAAAGTAAAAAAAAAAAAGCTTTACTGTAAAAGTAAAATAACCCTCCAAACAGCTGTAATTTTAAGGGCCAGATTTACTAACCGCTTGTAACAGCATATGCATATGCATATTATGGGGATCTATTATGCAAAATTCACTCTTATATTTTTTTGACAGTAAGATAAAGATTTGAAGATATCCGGTGTGTGTGAACACAACCACACTATTATGGTAAAAATCCATGCACTCTTATTTCCCCCATACTTCAGAAATGGTGTCTTAAAATTAGCAGTTCAGAAATGCATCTGTTGTGATGTCACAGTAGAACAGGCCCCGCCCACAACTGACGACAATCTGCCCTATTAGCTTAGCTCCTCCCCTCAATGAGCTGTACACAGCCCGCCATGTGTAGCTTTTTACCTCTTGCGATTGTATTTAGGCTTCAAAAATCCTAAATCTTGTGTCAATTTGTGAAGATTATCCTGATGAATGAAATGAATAAAAAAAAAAAAAATTTTTTTTTTTTTTTTTTGCAATAATCCAAAAGCAAATGGACAATTTTTATAAGGTTTTTGTTGATGGAACCAGGATAATGCGAACTTCTGGGTTGGTCTACAAAAAAACATCATCACTGCATCACTCTATAGAGTGCAACAGTGCCTGCCCACTTTTGTTAGTTTGAATATACATTGAACCAAACAATATCATAACATCTTAGTAAATAATTCAATAAACTTTATTTTTGACAGAACATTTCGTTTGTGACAGAAATGTGTTGGTACTAGTGACCACAATATTTAGTTTGCCAAGGCTGAATCAGACTGTCAACATTTTACAATACAGTTTTTCTGAATTGCTAAAACACCCCTTAACTGTCACCGTCCCACAAGTGGGACGCTTGCCATTATATTTTTAAAACAATAATATCTTAGTAAAAACCTTAAGTAATATTGACAAACTATATATCATTTGAAAGCTTACAATCTCTAGTTTCCATATTTGGTGACTGATTTTCAAAATACATTACAGAGGAGCCGTAATTTATCAATTTGCAACAAGAATATTTTCATACTCCTAAGGCGTGTTCAGACCTTTATTTTGAAATAACAATGAACATGAAAAATCATGAAAAAATGGTAGAAACCTCAGTTTGTTTTCATGCCAAGAGTTCAAAAGATAGCATCTATTCAATTATTTTAGAAAAAAAGATCTGAAAATGTTTTAAATATAAAGAAAAATAATAATAAATTCACCATTTGTGATGTGGCAGCGAGCTATAACGCACATGCGTGTTCTTTGTATGTGTTTCTTAGAGGTTGAATTCATATCAAAATCTGCCAAACTTCCCACTACTTCTGAATAGGATCTCTACTCTACTGAGGGTCACGCATCTCTAGAGTAGAGTAAAATAATGTAAAATTTGCTTATGAAAAGAATTAAAGGGTTAGTTCACCCAAAAATGAAAATTCTGTCAGTAATTACTCGTCCTCATGTTGTTCAACCCCGTAAGACTTTCGTTCATCTTCGAAACACAAATTAAGATATTTTTGATTAAATCTGAGAGCTGGATCACTCCTCCATAGGCTTCTTAAGGGATCGAAACTGACCGGCCCAAAAGTTATTATAGACATCGTTTAAATAGTCCGAGTGACTACAGTGGCTCAATCTTAAGTTTATCAAGCAGCGAGAATACTTTTTGTGCGCAAAAAACAAACAAAAATAACGACTTTATTCAACTAATCATTTCCTTCTCTGTGGGCCGTGAGATTTCACGTAGTGAAACTACGCAGCGCTTCTAGGTTGTACGTCACGCATCACACACATGACCAGCGTCGGCCAATAGTGAGCCTGCGTGTGACGTGCAACCTAGAAGCTTTGCGCAATATCACTACGTGAAATACCAGAGCCAGCGAGGTGTTGCTTTACAGAGACTCAGCTGACACCAGAGTCTCTTCAGCAGGCATCACGGTCAGAACTGGGAGGAAATGGCGAGCGCAAGAGGCAGTCGACCAAGCAAAAGCAAGACTGAGACATAGGGTCTTAGTTGGCTCTGTGGCAGTGGGAAGAGCTGGTCTAGGTAGCCACACAAAACCACACTACGACAAAGCCCAAGGAACGAGAGAGACACCAGATGGTGCAGGGAGAGATTCGTGCTGAGGTGGAGGAGGAACGTCTAAGTAGGACAGTGGCAATGCGCCAACCAGGAGCCTGGGCCAATTGGAATCATGCAGTTGCCTGGAAGATCACCTGGACAGAACTATGGAAGTCTGAACCCGCAAGACTTAAGTTCTTGATCCAGTCGGTGTATGATGTCCTCTCAAGTCCATCTAACCTTCATATCTGGGGCCTAGCAGAAACACCAACATGCCCATAACCAGGTGCTGAAGGTAGTAGCGGACACTGCACCGCAATCCGGGAGTCTAAACATCAAGTCCCAGTGAGGCACAACATCTCCTTTGTTAGGGCAGGGGAGAAACCTCAGGGAGAACGTAAGGCCTCAACAGGACTGCTAGCCATGGCCCGTGACTGGCAGATGCATGCAGACCTTGCGAGGCAGTTAAAGTTCCCCGAGCACATAGCAAGGACATCACTGAGGCCAGATCTGGTCTTAACATCTGACTCAACAAAGCACGTGGTGCTAGTGGAGCTTACTGTCCCCTGGGAGGACAGGATGGAGGAGGCTTTCGAAAGGAAGAAGGCCAAATATCTTGAGCTGGTTGAGGCATGCAGAGGGAGAGGATGGAGGGCCCACTGTGAGCCAATAGAAGTGGGCTGCAGGGGCTTTCTAAGTCAATCTGTGCATCGGGCATTCAGGCTCCTTGGCATCAGAGGGTTGCGTGAAAGAAGAGCCACTAAAAACATCAGTGAGGCCGCCGAAAAAGCCTCAAGGTGGTTATGGATCAAAAGGGGAGAAGTATGGAGTAGCGCGCTGCTTGGACACAAACCGGGGACTGATCAACCCCGGTTGGGTCGCCCAGGTGGGGGTGTCTGAAGATCAAAGACCCGAAACACCCTGTGACCCTGGGTCCTTCACTGAAGATGTGTCCAAGCTGCACCTTTAAGGTGTTTCAAAATCAAAACAGATATTTTCGTTTGTGGGGTCTGAATCAAAATACCCAAATATAATGTTTCTCATATGTATTGAGAAGCCTGACCAAATCTTACACTTGATAAATTGATCATGTTTTGCAGCAGTGTTGTCTCGTGATGATGACGTCCCATAATTACACTGTAACATTGACACCTTAAAAAAATGTAGTTTTTGCAGTAACTATAAATTATGCATGTTTACCTGCAACTCACCCTAAACCAATCCCTAACCATAGTAAGTACATGTAGTTAATTATTAATATTGCCTACTTTACTTACTGTAAATGTAAAATTACACTGTAACACGGACACCTTAAAATAAAGCGTAACCTTGTTCTGTTCTGGATCTGAGTTTTGGTTTATGGTCTGGCACAAGACTGGAGTAATTTTCAACATATTTAAGCATGGTTTCTTTTCATGACCCACTCAGAAGGTCTCCAGTCTTGTTTGGTGATGCAGCAAACATTTATGAGAGCCTTGTTTCATTTTCTGTATTTTAGGAAAGGCAAACGTCACATGTTCATTTTTATTGAAAATATTAAATGTTAGTTTTATTTGTAAATATATTTATATAATTGTTTTCCTGTTTGTCAAAGCACGTTCTTAAGCTGGGTGAGGCGCACTCACCGCGCATGCGCAGTTGCAGTGTCATTGACGTCATGTCCGTGGGAAACGTCGGCTGCTAGTCCACGAATGTCCAGCGAGATAATTATCTATTCTTTGTTTTGTATTTAATTTTATAAATGTAAAGATGATTCTTACTGTAAAACCTCTTCAAGGAAAAGAGTGTAATGTTCAGGTAAGCTTGTGAGTCGTCTGGTGTTTTGAAGTAGTAATGTGGCTGTATTAGCTGCTTTAGCATAGCGCTGTGCTGCAGCTTTCTATTCATCTTTATGTTGTATATGTAATGCTAACATGTGCTAGCCAGTGATCTATAGATAATGATGCAGCCACTTATTTCTGCTGTAGCTCATTTGACGCGATTTACACTCTCTAACGCGGTTATTTTGTCCTCGACACAATAGTGTCTCCAAACCTATTGAGCTCCCTACCTAGATGGCAGTTTTGAGTTCACAATGCGATGTTGAACGTGTCTGTGATTCACAGAAATAATTTCTAGGTAGAAAGATCAATAAGTTTCGAGTCACGGTCAGTGGCAGTAAACTAGTTAGATCAGGCAAACGAGTTGTCATTTAATTGATTAGATATGCCCACTTACTAGTTACTGTATTAATACTTTATTGGTGTTTTTGTTTGTTGTGAAACAGTGATATTTTAGCATTAAAGAGGTAATATTTTATACATTTTTAATTTTTGCATATTTATTTATTTTATTTCCAGTTCTTTTTGTAAGCAGGAAAGTTAAACTAAATCAAATTGTGAAATACTGCCTCAGTAACTTGCTAAAATTAGTTTAATGTTTTGGTAAAATATTTTACGTCAGTTAAAGAGTTAGTTCACCCCAAAAAACGAAGACATTTTAAAAAAAAAAAACAATGAGGTTCATTCTCCTGTTACGCAGCACGTTTGAGTTTCTGCAAGAACCAATGAGATGTGATCTCGTGAGGCAAACAATTGCTGTTTATGTTTATGAGCTTCTGTTTATGTTCGCTGATCAATATGTATGTGAATAAAAACCTAGCCTAAATTCATTGGAAATTCAGAATTTTCCTTTTTTGTGTGAACTAACCCTTTAACTTTTATTTTATAAGTAACATGTTTCAGTAAAGTGTTTTTTTTATGTTTTTCGACTTACTTCGGAATGAAACAGAAGTCACAATAGTTTTTTCTTCCCTATTGTGACGTGTATCCGAGTGAAACGGCTTCTCGAACAAGAACAAATGTAGGGCGGGACTTGATTTTATCCATGGGGAATTGATTGGATGGTTGTGGTTTGCTATTGGTGGATCTCATGTGAGTGACAGGTTGCCCCGCCCTCACGCCAGTATACAGGTCATCAGAGAAAATAAGAGGGAGAAGAAGTTATTTTTTCTTTTTTGTATAAAGATGAGGCCACATGATTTTTTTTTAAAGCTGCAGTCCTTAGCTTTTTTTGGGTTAAAAATTATTCAAAATACATATTTGAGAAAAATACATAACCAGCCAGTGTTCAAAACTATCTTGCTTGCCTTAGCTCGATTCAAAGCGGTAAGCTTGTATTAATGTTTCCAGTGGTACTGGTGGATTTCCGCGGGAGATTCGAGCATGTCTTTGCGTCATTACGTCACATCTGTACACATAAAGAAGGAGTCTCGGCTATAGGCTATATTGCGTGTGAGGATGTTGGAGGTGGAGATTTATAGCCTTTTCTCACAGCACTTGATATAATTAAACTTATTAATTTGATGGCGGATCCAGAAAGGTTCAAACGACAATCACCAGTGACAAGAGATTCACCCGCTGTAAAATGCAAAAGACTTCGTTCGGACTTTGGAGTGGATACAGAAAAAAAGAGACTGCAACCGGACCCATGCGAAAACAAGGATACTTATCAGGACATTACATGTAGTCACACAATGCTGATATTGTTAACATTACCAATTTGAGAACAAAGTATAATTTGCATGGTTTTGCGTGATATAAGCAATTTTTACATTTACTGCAATGTCAGAACCAGAACAAAAGTGGATGTTACTTACTAGTTCAGATGACATTTTCCGGTGAAAATGATTATGTTGGTCATACTTCCAAAAAGAATAATCTGTGATTGTGAATGCCAGTATCCACACCGGCGCGGCGACTGACAGCCTCACACTCTCCTCAAACATTGGATTCATCCGCGCTGTGCCGTGCCGAGGCACAACTCACGTAAAGTTGATAATTCCGTGAATGACTGCAATTGCAGATTTCGAACAGAGATGGCGACAAAGAGGAAAAACTACGGACTGCAGCTTTAAATAATGATGTGCAAAGACAAATAATTTATAATCAATACTGCACTATTTATTTTTATTTTTTTTAAAACCTCGAAATAACCCTGGTATAACAGAAAGCAATCGGTTCAGTTATACAAATACAGGTCATGTGTATAAATATCATCTCTGCCAGTGCATATAAACAAGGCTTTTGTCAGCAGATGTGTTCTTTTGATGCACAGGTGACAGAAAATGAAAAGGTATCGACGGTAAAAGAGTTGGTATCAAAGCGTTTAAACATCCCTCCAAGTCAGCAGAGACTGCTGTATAAAGGAAAAGCGCTCGCAGGTAAAAGCTTGATCAGTAAACATACACTCATTATTTAAGGTAACACTATAACACTCTTCATATTTGGATTTCTTCCAGTCATGGCCAGTGTGTGTGCGGTGTGTTGACGGTTGTTTTCGTGTTTCCAGATGAACACAGGTTGAGTGATTACTCGATTGGCCCGGAGGCTAAGCTGAATCTGGTGGTGCGTCCCGCGGGAGAGAGGAGCAGTGGCGCGGGGGGGACCAGCGGCTGGAGTAATGACAGAGCGGGCAGTGGCGTATGGCAGTTACTGTCAACTGTCCTGGCCAAACACTTCAGCCCTGCCGATGCTGCAAAAGTGCAGGAGCAACTCATTAAGGTACATACAGACAAAAATATCCTTTTATTACCTTTTGTTGTTGTCATTTTAATGTCTTTTGTGGTGAAGTTTATTTATTTACCCCAAGGACCTTAAAGGCCCCCTGAAATCAAAAGTTTTTTAGCTTTTAGTATGAATATGTTAGCCTTAAGGCCATCCTTAAAAATATTTTGGTTTGCAGTAACAGCAAAAAAAAAAAAAAAAAGGGTCGGTAGGTAGGTCTATTTTTTTTTTCAAGATTCAATGTAAAAAAAAAAAGGATAATTTTGGTCATGGTGATTACGTCGGTATGAATTTAAACAAATTTACATATCGTGACGTCACTGACTGGGTCTTCAACCCCCATGCCTTCGGGCGCACCATTGCGAACCTCATTCTGATACAGGTTATAGACCACAAACAATTTGAAATCTTTGTCTAAAAAAACATATTTATTGCATTCATTTGGAAAAAAATAGGCAGAATCAATAAAAAAAAAAAAGAAGCCACTAGATTTCAATGAAAGTGGATTTTCAGAGGGAAACAAATAAATTAAAATAACTAATCTCACCAGCGCCGCGCCGACCAATAAAACAGCGCGTTTGGCACCATTCGTTTACATTTGACCCATACTGTTACAAGCCCCCTTTCTGGTCTAGGGGCAGGAAAGGAGGGTAACAAAAAGTTGCAGGGAGAGAGTGAGAGATTTGACCCATAAACATCTGCTATTATTAACGGAAATTAGTGAGGTCAAATGGCTAGGCGCATTGTAGAAACTATAGGCCTATTAAGTATAGTCCTGACATATTATGGAATGGTCGATTTTCTTTTGTGCTATTTAGTACATTTCGGTATGGGATGTGCTGTTTTATTGGTCAGCGCGGCGCTGGTGAGATTAGTTCGCGCCGCGCTGACATTGGCTGGCGCAAGCAAACACTTCTCCTGCGCTGTCGAGTCTGTCGCGGCTCGGTCCATTGAGCAGCGCAGATTACAAGTCAGCGCAGCGCGAACTCTGTAACACACCGCGCCGTTTGTCCCACTTTTGGTGTGTTTGGCTTCCCACACTTATGTGTGTGTGTTTGTCAGAGCCTGCAGTTGCTGTGTGACGCGCGTTTGCGGTGGGCATATCATGACGAGCTGGACGCGCTCCGAGAAAAGGCCGTTAACATCGATTCCCTATTCTCCTATTTGACCATTAAGAATTTCGAATAATGAGCGACCGCGCCGCAGCCATCATCACCGAGCGCGAACCATTGACAGTGAATGAAACGAAGCGAACGCACAGGCCTAGTGTGACACGCGTAAACCAATGGTGTAAACATAATCATAATAGATGACGCCACGGGTTTTTATTTAAAAGAAAGAACGTAGCCTACGCATTTTATATTCACAATACTTACTATAATATAATTTATATTATTGTATTGCATTTGTATTAGTTGTTTGAAGAGTAAAAAAAATCGGTCGGTCTTAATGCAAGTTTACAACCGGCAAGTCGGTCGGACTAAAAGGGAAAATAAATAAATAATTGGGTCGGTCCTAATTTGACAGGGTCGGTCGGGTTACGGCAAACAAGAATATTTTTAAGCATGGCCTAAGGTAATGAATAAGCTGGTGTGTTCCAAAACAATGACAAAATTCACATTTAGGAGATATAAGCATTAGGGGTGAAACGGTACATGTATTCGTATTGAACCGAAACGATACGGGCGTCACGGTTCGGTGCACGAATTTACACGGAGAATACACGCTATAAAAATAAATAAAACTCACGTGCAAATTAATTAATGTAATGCGGAACTACTGTTAGATACGCGGTTCTTTAGGGACACATAATCTGTACCATCGGCTTAGCTCTGAACGCGCGTTCACTTCAAACGTTGGCTTTATACTCGCGTCCTATTCGCTTTGGACTAGCGTCGAACTAGACGCGAATTTGGCGCTCTATTCGCGTTTGGTGTGACTGCATAATGAACAGGCTGCGATGTCAAGATTGAAATGAGAGAGAGAGAGAGAGAGGGGCGCGGGCGCGATCGAACAGTGGAAACATAAAAAACATACTCCGTCATTTTGTTCATACAGATCATTAAACCTGCAAAGTGTTTACTTATATTTGTGTACACTCGCAATAAAACACAACATTGTGCTTTTGTCACACTGTAAACGCTTGTCAAACTGTAACCTACAACTGTCACCCAACCAAAATCTTACACACACACTGTTTTAAAAGCAAAACATATTTATCCAACTCCATTTCAAAACAGTCTGTGTGTCCCATCTTTTGGACATTCATCATCATATTGCATTGGTTTTCATTTCTTGTCCTCAGAGCACTAATACACATTCTACATTGATTAAAAAAGAAAATCGAATGTGTTTTTAATGGTAGTATTATTTTATACAGAAATCATTTATAATTCAGATGAGAATAATGTTACATTGTTAATTAAAATTAAGGAAAACAAATACATTGATCTGAAATATAGCAAAATAATTTAAAATTAATTCAGGTACAATTACCAAACATATCGCAAGGTCTTTTTATTAATTTAATTAATAAACTAATTATATAAAACTATTGTCAGTGCACTACAAATAAACTGGTTCTATGCCTTTATTAATAAAACTTATTTAAAAAATACAATGACTTCTGCATTTTTGCTTTGCTTTTCCCTCCATTGTACCGAAATCGTACCGAACCGTGATGTCTGAGCCGAGGTATGACCCCTAATAAGCATTCAAAACTTGGTTCGTCCTTCGGATGAGACGTTAAACCGAGGCCCTGACTCTCTGTGGTCATTAAAAATCCAATGGCACTTCTCGTAAAGAGTAGGGGTGTAACCCCGGTGTCCTGGCCACATTCCACCCATTGGCCCCTGCCAATCATGGCCTCCTAATAATCCCCATCCACTGAATTGGCTCTATCACTCTCTCTCCTCTCCAACTATAGCTGGTGTGTGGTGAGCGCACTGGCGCCGTTGTACTGTGGCTGCCGTCGCATCATCCAAGTGGATGCTGCACACTGGTGCTGGTTGAGGAGAGAACCCCTGATATGATTGTAAAGCGCTTTGGGTGTACAGTAGTACATATGAAAGCGCTATATTAATGCCTCATTCTATTCTATTCTAAAACTTAGTCTCTCACTTCCGCTAAAATCACGGATCACGGATTTTTATGACATCACTTTCTCATCACATCTTCTGTCCAATCAAAAGCTCTCTGGAATCTGAAGCTCCGCCTCTTATGCTATAAACACCACATGGCCAAAGCGGCCGTTGATACGTCACTGAGCAATATGGGTTGGAGTGTGTGTTCGGTTGCTCAAACGCTCGAGTTTTATTCCGGTTTCCAACTGTGCGTTGGTTAAGAATGAAATGGCTAGAATTTTTTCACACCTCTATTATTGAATCAAACGTACCATCAGCGCTCGGATTCGCTTCCATGGTGCTGTCAAGTACGACTCGCAGTCTGTGAGGTAAACTAAACGCTATTGGCTATTTGAAAAGGGGGAGGGGCCTTCCAATATGCCCCGCCTTAGCTTCCTGTTTCAGTGGAAATTATATCAATGCATCATACAGAGCTGCGTGTTCCAAGCCACTTCAGTGGGCCTTTAAAGAGGACCTTATACAGTATGTCCTTTTTCAAAGTCGTGATTTTGTTTTTGGGCTCTACTAGAATAGGTTTTCATACTTGAATATTCAAAAAACACATTATTTTTCCTTTGTGAATTATTTTTGTGCTTTGAAATAAATAGAATAATTCCATTATTCTATTGATATAAATGGAATTAAAATGATTAATTTCTTGTTCAGTGTCATTTAGTGTTATTTATATGCTATTATAATATTTATTTCTATACATTATGAAATCTTATTTTTATATTAAAATTTTTCATTTTATGTGCTTTTACTATTATTATTATTTTATAGTTTTAGTTCCCAACACAATTTCTAATTTTCTAAAGTTCTAATATTTACATTTTATTTGAGCTTTGTCAGTCAACGAAGAGGATTTTAATAGTTTTAGTTAACAATAACAACACTGCTCTTGATTTACTCAGCCTTTAGAAAGCAGAATTACATAATATTACATTTGTTGAATGTGTAAGAAGTGAGCATCATAAATGTATCATAAAACATGATGAGAATAGTACAACCTTTGAGTGTTTGATTTGGTCAGGAATTGACAGATCCCAGGTTAATGTCTTCTTGTTTTCCCCTCAGGATTATGAGCGCTCCCTCAGACAGCTCAGTCTGGATGACATCGAGCGTCTGGCCAGCCGCCTGCTCCACCCTGAGACAGAGGCCATGGATACCTCATATATGGACTAAAACACACTAGACTGATGGAAAAACTCCAGCTCCATTGAACTCCTCCTACCACATACATGGGTTGAGAAGTCCAGGCCAGGGAGTAGGATGTACTTCATATGGACTTCTATGGAGGAAAATAAAAGTCAGACGTCCCCCTCACATCAGACTGGGCTTCTCTGATGTTCAAGAGGCCACGATGCTTACCATTGCTTTCCCATCAGAGGAAACCAGTGGTGCTTTTAGTGCAACTTTGTAAATATTGTGTGCAAATGGTTAAACGATGATAATAAAAGGTGTTCTTGATCAGCTTGATCACTTTCTTGCTTTAAAAAAAAGAAGAAAATCGAGTGGAATTGACAGACGGCTTGGTTGTAAATGCATCTTTATTTACGTTTTTTTGGGGTTTTGAAGTCATTCTAACATTTGGCCAAAAAAAAAAAAGATGCCTACTTTTTTTGTCTTTTTTGCATTTTTGGCATATAAAATGGAGGAGTATTATTGAACACAAGCTTAACATGTAAATGTCCAAAGGCGAATCAAAACACGGAGTTAAGCATGACGTAAACATCATTACTTTGTTTCTAACGCTGCTACTTAAAACATGACCTCTTCATGAACACTGGAGAAATGACTCATTTACAACAGCTCTACATGTGCAAAAAAAAAATGACATGTTTTGTAAACCATTCTAACTTGCATGGTTGGTAACATTCTTAAGAAATCTGTTACAGAAACAGAAAGTGTCTCTAAAACATTTTTAGAAGTACTTACAATCCAACTAAGACTAATATAATCTGATGTGATGTTGAAGTGAACTTACCAAATGTCAGTACCTTTAGGACACATTACCCAAGTTAATACACCGTCACCAAATCCTGATTCACCTTTAATTCATGACATATTACATAGTTGGGCTGGGAGATAAGATATCTTGAGAGAAATTTGCATAGATTTTTTTTTTCTCTCCAAACAAATCCCAATGGTTGCCAAGTTGATTTTAAGGGGATGCTTTCATTACGATGATGTACTAAAAACAGAAACGTTTTTAATTAGCATTTTCCACTTACAGACGATGATCCCCGTTCACATGGATCTGTGAAAACGATTACAACGCTGTATTCTGCTGCCAGGCCAGTAGTTAGCGATGTCACTTTGTGAAGTAACACTACGTGCTTATAGACTGAACACGTATATACACGTGCGCATGACGTCACCGTTTTCACAAAGTCACATTTTTGTACGATAACGGTATCGTTTTCAAATACTTGCACTTTGAAACCTGTTTTCAGAAGTCAAAAAGTACAGTTAAAATCAAGTTAAAATCAAAGCATGTTTTCCACACCTCCTCCCTATATGGACACTGGGAAATATATTTAATCATTTTTATTTATGTGCACAGTAATAAAAAACAATAATTTCCTACTGTTTGTTCATTTATTTTTACTAAAACATTTAAAATGATGTGAAATGCCAAACGGCGACTTTTACTTTTCATTTCATTCGTTTTTGAGCGATGTTGCAAAACACGGATTTTGAACTGATTGGAATCAATTTAATTCCTAACACATATCTGCATTTTTTACTTGGAAGTTATTGCAAAAAAAAAAAAACAATCATAAAAAAATGTTGGTTAGTTTTATACCACAGACAAAATGTATACATTTTTATAACTGTTTAATATATTTCCCAGCCCTATTACACATGTATGCATTTTCAACAAATGTTCATTCAGCATAGGAGTGAAACAACAATAACTAAAAGTTACAAAAATATAAAGGCACAATGAACTAGCAGACAAAAGGAACATTTCGGAGTAAAGAAAAACTTGCACAGACAGCTGGAGTAGTGGCAAGGAAATTCTTCGACAGCTGTAGTGATAGTAGGACTTGAAATAAATGCAATGTCAGAGGACATGCAACACACTGGTCTTCCTGTTCCTCAATAGTTCATCATACCACACGTGACTTGGAGTTCAGCAAGAAAATGGATGTTCTGCTTTCACATGTGGCATTTGACACCCTGGAGGTTTCAAAGGAGGAAAAGGGGAGGATGGGTGCTAGAATTACAGGCCTGGATCTCTTCCATCTCTCCCTTTCTTCCTTTCCCATGTTGCTCTTTCTCTTCCCTCCCCAGTTTCATCTCTCCTTCAGCAGCTGCAGCCGTCACTGGTAGACGCGGGTCTGTCATCTCTTAGTTTAATCTGGTCAGGGAAATCATACGTGTCCACAGTCTCCTGAAAGGTAAATTCATTTCAGATTAAGTGTTTTTTGTAACGGCAAAGCCCGGCCAGTTAAACAGAAAATTCGGTGATCATTTACTCGCCGTCACTAATTTCTTTCTTTCAAGAAAATAAAAAAAGGAGACATTTTGCAGAATGTTCACGCTGCACTTTCCCGCACACAACAGCCCGAATGTTCCAAGCTCCAAAAAGGACATGTGCCATTAAAGAAGTTCACATTACTAATACACTACATTCCCTTTATTCAGGAGTCATAACATATCTTTGTGACAAAAAAAAAATACCAAAATAATAATTGTATCCCTTAAAACTCATCTTTGATCACCAAAATGACATTTTTAAACCCTAAAACAACTTTTTTTAGTTAATGATCTGCAAGACTGGGGCTTTATTAATGCTGTTCATTGATTCGAGTAAATTTTTTGACATTTGGGTATAAAGTGTTTTAACCCTCTGGTATTCTTCGGTCGTTTCCGACGGGAATTTTTTTAATAAAAAAATGTTAAAAATCGTAGCTTCATCGGAATGGTACGAAACTTGGTGACTTTTATGGTACTTAGTATATGAACACACAAAAAAATTGGGGACATGATTTGAAAAGTCTAAGTGGTCGTAAAAAAAATAGTCACACTCATGGCCTTCGGTCAAAAATGACCGGCCATAGGATATGAATGGGAAAATGGCAAAAATATGAAAATACAGAGGTTTTTGTGCGTACAATCTACAAATCAGCCACGATGCAGAAAAAAAGCATAACACAGTGAAGGGGTGAATCTCTAAAACATCAAGAGTGCAAAACAGACAAATACACTCACACACACACACACTTATACACACAAAAACACACGCACACACAAATGAACGTGTGTCATTGCAAAAGCTAATTTTGGGAAATGTGTGAAATAAAAGCAATTATTCATCAATGTAAGGAATAAAAAGCACACAGATATGAAAGCATGAGACTGTAAGCCATCAAGGTTGCAAAATAGACATGCTCACACACACACACACACACACACACACACAGACACAGACACACACACATAGGGAAATATGAGACTGGTGAAACTGTAACAGAGAAATGTGAGAATATGTGAAATCAAATCAATGAATCAAATAAAGGGGAGACATTGGGTCCAAAATGCAAAGGTCACACACTATGTCTCTCTCTCTTGAACACACGCACACACACACACACACACACACACACAGTGTAAGATCAAACGATGGAATTCTTAGTAACCTCCAGGCCTATTGCAGCACATATGTGCTCTTTTGATGTGTTTATTAGAGGTTGAATTCAAATCAAATACTGTCAAACTACCCATACTACTTCTGAATAGGATGTCTACTTCATAAATTGTATGAAAATTATGGAAATACATGGTTCAGATCACTCAAAACATATATGAAAATGGAGGCGCCCTTATATGGTCAGTAAGGAAGCTTGGCGTTCCATGCATCTAGTGAAAAAGTTTGGTATGCGCCAAAATAAAATCTTGACTGAAAGCTTATTTTTTGAGATATCAACCTAAAATTTGGAACACAACTTCTTAAGATTTTTGGCTTTCATTTTCTTGCAGTTTTAGAGTAAAATATATTTTATAATATATATATTTTATATAAAATATAAATAATAAACATTTTACATTGTTCATTTTTATTAACTCAAACTTTCATAACTTTTTTTCTGTTTCACTTTCATAATTTCTTTCACTTCTACAATAATCTGGCAAATGTCTTCTTTAAAACAAGACCAACCATAGGTCTATATTCCAAAGCATTCTTGAATTACAACCATTTAAGTTTGGATAGTGATTTTCATGTCTATGCGAAAATAATATAATTTTTATTTTATTTTTTAAAAATAAAATAAAACAACCAAACAAACAAAAAACTTGACAAAAATAGTCTTTGAGAATCACTTATTATAAATTAAAATCCACAACCTGAAAAAAATAGGCAAATATGTGCAAAAACAACTAGAATTCACAAGCCTTTCTACAGAGGCTGTAAATCCATCTAGTGGTTAAAATATGATATTGCATGATAATTATGCTCACTACATCCACCAGATGGCTCCAATGTGATTTAAAAAAATGTTTTCTATAGGCCAAGGATCCACTTTAACCTGAAATACAGCATTAATTAAAAAATAATAAAAATAATATATATATATAAATTTTCTATTATATTCAATGGGAAAAAATTGATCATAATTATTGCATAAATATTAATTATTTTCATAAAATTCTCTCAAAACACAAAAAAGAAAAAGAAAAAATATTATTGAACAAAAATAAATTTCATTGATTTTACTGAAAAAAAATAAAAATTGATTTCAGGGGTCCGGTCACTTTTGACCGCGAAGGTCTTGAGTGTGACTGGAAAACGAAGAACTCCAGAGGGTTAATTCTACAATATATGGTGTAAGTGCTGCCCTCTTCAGGTTGAACGGCGGCTACTGCAGTTGAATTTTCCTATTGGATGTTGTGGTACTGCGTGATGTAAGCAGGCACCAGCTCACCACGCCCTTGTCTACAGAGAGACCCGTCTCAGGTGAAATCCAGTCATTTCAATAGGAATCCCTGTGATTGGGCAGTTTGTGTGAGAGCGCAAGATTTCACAACCAGTTCAAGTGTGTCACACGGATTCACAGAATTGACTAATAATGACTTTGGTGTGAGCTGTGCTTCATACATCATTACACTACTGACAATAGACAATGAAATTTATGCCCACAAAACTTTGCTAATGTGACTGCACTTTTGACTAGGGTTGTAACAGTATGAGATTTTCACTGTATGATAACCATCTCAGGGTTTTTGGTTTGAACAAATGCTCTATTATAACAAACTTGAAACCATTTTTTATGGAATATGAGTCTCCCTTTTGTAAAAAATATAGCCGCAAGCAGCAGACATCGGAGTCTGAGCACTAATAGCCCATGTGGATGAATAGCGATCAGTTGAAATTGATCTTATGACGTGGTTTTTACAGGGAAGTCCATCTTGATCACTGAAAGTTAGGGTTTGATCATAATATGTGTGGCGTATGATGACTTAAAACCACAGTGGACTTAAAATGAGAAGTCCATGGTGGCAAGATTGTTTAGACGGAAACTAAATGTGAGTGGCTTGCCGCAAGGATTCGGCAAAAGCAATCCTTTTGTTTCAGGCCCTTAGGGTTTCAAATAGTGTCGGACGGGTGTGTGTCTGAGAGCACGATTGTTGGGACTATCCTGCCGAGTTTGGGGTCTCTGCGATATACGGTTTCTGACGCCCATACACTTTCAGGGCAGTAAAATAAACAGGAAGAAAATCAGTACAAGCTGTTCATCTCCCATTTGAGTTATCTCTCTTTAGATTAGACAATAATAAACCAAACTGTCCTTCCTTTTGAACAACATAAATGGGATAATTCCTTCTGAAAGTGACTGGATTCCGCTGTCAAAGAGCACGCAAACACTAAATTCAGTTCTCATTCATGCCTATCTCTACGAGTATCCTAGTAACTCAGGCTCTTATGTCTTAAGTGAACGTAAACAATTGAGAAAGAAAACGGATGCGTATCTTTATATTGGACATGTGTATTAGATCTTAAAGTGACAGCAGCCTAATAAACCTCACTTTAGAGGATTCGGAATAAAGCACATGAGTTGTAGAAACTACTTTTATGGTGCTTTTTGTTCCGAAAAGAGCAGCGTGAACATTCTGCTAAACGTCTCCTTTTGTGTTTCATAGAAGAAAGTCTTAAAGGTTTTGAAACTACATGATGGTGAGTGAAATGTTTTTATTTTGGGGCGAATCTCACAAACAAGGTGATAAATGACTGATTATTTGCTTTTTTCATCTTGTATCAAACAGGATCTAAAGTGAAAGTCAATCTGAAGTATTCTCAACTTTCTCTACCTGTTTAAGTGCATTGCGAGCGATGGTTTGGAAGGCCTGCTCCACGTTAATGGCTTCTTTGGCACTGGTCTCAAAATAGGGGATGTTGTTCTTACTCTGACACCATGCTTGTGCTCGCTTCGTTGTTACCTGTTCAAAATACAAAGGAAATGATGAATTCAATTTGAAAAACTGGCAATCAAAAAATCACTTGTAATTATTTTATTACGTCACTTAATATGTTCTTGATAGGAAAAGTTCTAGTTCTGTTATATTGTTTGATATTTGCCTATTCATATTTCTGCAGGTTTTATAAAAGTTAAATGTCAGACTTTTAAGACCTTTTAAGACTAGGTAAAGAAAATTTAAGGAATAACTGGAAGGGAACACAATATGTCAATACATTGGAGTTATATTAGCAACACTTTAGAGTTTTAAAATGCAACTTCCAACCGATATCCATTACTTTTCAGTACATTTGACAAAAAAAAAGTAGTTTGTATCGCTCTGCTCCCAAACACTAGAATATGGAAATATCTTTTACTGTACCTTCTGATGGCACTGCAAAAAAAGTGTTCTATTTTGTCTTGTTTTTCAGTGCAATTGTCTAAAAATGCTTAAATCAAGATACATTTGAGATGCAAAATTACATAAAATATTAATTCTGAGAAAAATACCCAAATGAAGTGAGTTTGTGATTACAACAATAACAAATATCTGCCAATGGGGTCAGAAAAATCAGCTTGATTTAAAGCGAAGTTATACAGAAATTTGTTCTTCTTTTAAGCATAAACTCACTTAATTTTGTTCAGTTTTACAAAACTTGTATTTGACATTGATTTAAAGATGTTTAGATATTTGTATTAGGAAAACAGGACAAAAGTACTGAAGAAGATATTCATTTTCTGCACTGCATGCAACATTAAATGTCATGACTTTGTGAATTTAAGACATTCAGCTCTGAATTAAGACCTTTTTAAGGCCTTAAATTGTGTTAAGAGTGAATTAAGACCTTTTTAAAGGAGTAGTTCACTTTTTAAAAAACTTTTGCTGATAATTTGCTCACCCCCATGTCATCCAAGATGTCCATGTCTTTCTTTCTTCAGTCGAAAAGAAATTAAGGTTTTTGATGAAAACATTCCAGGATTTTTCTCCATATAATGGACTTCAATGGGAACCAAACGGTCCAAGGTCCAAATGACAGTTTCAGTGCAGCTTCAAAGGGCTTTAAACGACACCAGACGATGCATCGAAATGACCGATCGTTTCGCAAGATAAGACCCTTATGCATCGTCTGGTGTCGTTTAAAGCCATTTGAAGCTGCACTGAAACTGTCATTTGGACCTTGGACCGTTTGCTTCCCATTGAAGTCCATTATATGGAGAAAAATCCTGGAATGTTTTCATCAAAAACCTAATTTCTTTTCGACTGAAGAAAGAAAGACATGGACATCTTGGATGACATGGGGGTGAGTAAATTATCAGCAAAAGTTTTTAAAAAAAGTGAACTACTCCTTTAAGACCCGCAAAAACCTTCTTATTTTTGAGATCATTGGTCAATAAGATCCCTTTTACATACAGTACCGTTCAAAAGTTGGGAGTCAGTTACTTTTATTAAGCAAGGATATATTACATTGATATAAAGTGACAGTAAAGACATTTATAATATTACCAAAAATAAAAATAAATAAGTATCATGGTTTCCACGAAAATATAAAGTAGCACAACTGTTTTCAGAAATGTTTCTTGAGCAGCAAATCATCATATTAGACTAATTTCTGAAGGATCATGTGACACTGAAGACTGGAGGAATGATGCTGAAAATGCAGCTTTTTGATCACAGGAATACAATACAGTTCAACATATATTACAATAGAAAACAGTTATTTTCAAATTTAATAATATAATTGAATTTGAACTCAATTTTCAACAATATTATTGATCTGACTTACTGACCCTGTTGTATGAGAACTGAGCAGGACGATGACATCCTCTTTTGCAGAACTGCTTCATAGATGAAATGAACTAATTTAATAATCTTTACAACAGATCTTAATCAACACTGAATTGACTGAACAGCAGCCGAAACGCATCATTTCCTGTTATCTCTGTAAAGCTGCTTTGAAACAATCAAACTGTATAAATAAAGGTGACTTGACTTGGCATTCCCCGCACACTGAACTCTGGAGAGTCAAGCAACAGCATTACGTCTGATGGCGCACTGCGCACGGGTCAAGCATTTCGATGCAAACAATGTTCAAACGATTTCAGTTTTGCCCTCATTTGCAGCTGACCTTCGTAAGCACAGCCCATGATTACCACACAATCTGCATGACACAAACATCAAAACAAGATGGCCGACAGATCAGCAAAGGCAGATCCTGACATTCAGAGGAAATTAATGTGATTTCTCAGATGTATCAAAGCAAACAGCAGGAACTCTACCTGATTTAAGCTCAGAAACCTGTCTATTCTCATTGCTTACCATGTGTACGTCCAGTTTGCTTGCTACCAAACAACCTTGTTCAATCGCTGCCCAGTGACTCTATCCGCAGCGCTTTTCATGCGGAGGTCAATGCGGCGTTGAAACCTCATCGTGAGTCGCGTGAAAGGACTTCAATCTCGTCTGCTACAATTTATATTTTTGCCTTTTAAATATTGTCACCAATTTATTAGGTATTTTAACTTAAGCAATTTTATGTACACTACTGCTAAAATGTTTGGACTTGGTATGATTTTTTTTTATCTTGTTCAAGTTTCTTATGCTCACTACGGCTGTACTTATTTGTTCAAAAATACAGTAAACAGGAATATGGTGAATTTTTATTACAATTTAAAATAACTGTTTTCTAGTGTAATATTTGAAAATGTAATTTATTCTTGTGATCAAAACTGAATTTTCTGCATTATTACTCCAGTCTACAGTGTCACATGATCCTTCAGAAATCATTCTTATATGATGCTTAAGAAACATTTATTATTATTATCAATGTTGAAAACAGTATTTTTGTGGAAACCATGATACATTTGCTTCAAGAATCTTTAAAGAATAAAGTTTGAAAGAACAGCATTTATTTGAATTGGAATAGTCTTTTCTGTCATTTTTGATCAATTTAATGCATCCTTGCTGAATTAAAATACTATTATTATTTTTATAAAAAAATAAAAATAAAATAAAAACATACTGACCTTTGGCTACCATTAGTTCACTCAAAAATAAAAATGATCCCATAATTTACTCACCCTCAAGCCATCCTAGGTGTTTGAAGTCCAAAAAACTGCATTTATCATAAAAGTAACCTATATACGGAAGCATATTACATTCACTTGAAGAAAAAAATCTACTCTGTTTTTCTGAATTAACGAGTTAATTATCTCAGAATTACAAGATCATTTTTCATGGAATTTTTTTTTTTGCTCTGTTTTTCTGAAATAATGACTTGATTATCTCAAAAACTCAGAAATTCAGAAAAACAGAGCAAAAACTTTTGGCAAATTTTTTAATTCTACAATATATCTCGTAATTCTGAGATAATTAACTCGTTAATTCAGAAAAACAGAGCAAAAAAAAAATTCCATGAAAAATGATCTTGTAATACTGAGATAATTAACTCATTAATTCAGAAAAACAGAGTAGATTTTTTTCTTCAAGTGAATGCAATACACTTCCGTACCTATATGGCTCCAGAGAGTTAATAAAGGCCTTCTGAAGCCAAGTGATGCGTGTTTGTAAGAAAAATATCCATACAGTATTTATAACTTTATAAACTATAATCACTGGCTTCCAGTAACGGCCTTACGCGAGTCGAGTGACCTCTGACCCTATATGGATATTTTTCTTACAAAAACACGTGGCTTTGCTTCAGAAGGCCTTTATTAATCTCAGTTAACTACCATTATAAAGCTTGTAAGAGCCAGGATATTTTGTAATATAACTTTGATTGTGTTTGGCTGAAAGAAGAAATTCATATACAGCTATGATGGCTTGAAGGCAAGTAAATTCTGGGATAATTTTTGGGGTGAACTAACCCACATCTCGACCATTGAGAAACTCATAGCTCAAGCACTCGTTCTACTCATTTTCAACTCTTTAAAACCGAGAAAAGTTCATAAGCATCTTTGCATTGCCGCTTCATTTCGGTCTGCACACTCACCTGTCGGTTCTCCAGGTCGATTTTGTTTCCCAGCACAACAAAGGGGAAGTTCTCTGGGTCACGTGGACTGGCCTGAATGAGAAACTCGTCCCTCCAGCTGTCCATAGTCTTGAATGTAGTGGGTGCCGTGACATCATAGACCAGCACGCAACAGTCGGCCCCTCGGTAGAAAGCCACGCCGAGAGACTGAAATCTCTCCTGACCTGCCGTGTCCCAAATCTAAAGGAAGAAAATCCAATTAGTCAAGGTAAATAACCCTTAATAATACTGTATTATATGCTTTTAGCCGCATTATTAACAATGTAACCTTATTGCTTAATTCTAACACTTATAAACAGAGAGAATTCACTGTCTATCCTTGAGTTGTCCATCTGTTAAAGACTAATATGGGTTTCAGAAATGTTTTCATTAGTAATCACAAGTAACAGCTCAGACAGAATAACTACAGTACTCTTATTGTTGCAATATTAGCAAATTATTTTACAGTAGTAACTTTCCAAGCACTGCTTGTTTGGGCATGAGGGATCTACATCACATGACTGGTCATGCAGGTTAGAAAAACATGGCTGGCAAGTAAACACAACATGGACTGTGCTTACAGGCAAACCTCCAGGGGATTACCAGTGCCTTATTTCTCTCACATGACCATCAGAATGAGTGTAAAACACTGAGATGAGATCCTACCGATAAGCTATGAGTAATTACAGATATTTCATATTTTTGAGATGACTGTATCGCCTATTATGCAGAGCCTTTAACCACATCACATGACCAGAGATGATTATTTGCCATGGGGCATTGTTCACAAAATAATGGTTGTTAAGGAAATGACATCATCATCCTCAGAACACGCTGTTCTCTTATTCTTTATGAGCAGTATAGCTACAATTACTGAGGAGAGTAGCTACAAGCACTGCTATTATAGGTATAAGAGTGAATCTGATTCAAGAAATATTTAGAAAGTATTATTTTACTCCCAAATTATTAAAAAATTATTTATTGAACATTTATATTTGGCATATAAATTTCCATAAGTAATGTGTCACTTTTGGCTTGCACATTTATCTTTACTTTTGTCACATCTGATCATGTTTTATGTTTTCATGTCTTTTATTTTGAAATTAGTCATATAGTCATGTTTTATGTTTTTGTTGTCATGTGATTCCCTGTTTCCATCATGTGATCTGGTCATGAGGTTCCTTTGGTTCTTGTGTTTTCATTGATTTGTGTGGTCAGGTGATTCTCAGTTCTGCCTTGTCATTGGTTTATCGCCTTGATCACTCTCTGGTATATCTTGTTAATCATTAGCCTTTGGTGTTTGTCGCACTCATGCTTCCTAAATCTCTTATCTAGCTTTGTTTTAGTGTTCTTTTCTGCTTACCAAGATCAAAAAATTGTTAACAATTAAAACAACTGTTAACAATTTAAAATAAACATTTTCTATTTTCATAGATTCTTAAAATTGTATTTTATCCCTGTGATCAAAGCTGAATTTTCAGCATCATTACTCCAGTCTTCAGTGTCACATGATCCTTCAGAAATCATTCTAATATGCTGATTTGCTGCTTAAGAAACATTTCTGATTATCATCAATGTTGAAAACAGCTGTGCTGCTTAATATTTTTGTTGAAACTAATTTGTTTTTTCAGGATTCCTTGATGAATAGAAAGTTCAAAAGAACAGCATTTATTTAAAAAAGATTGAAATGTCTTTACTGTCACTTTTGACCAATTGAATGCATTCTTGCTGAATAGAAGTATTAATTCCTTTAAAATCAACCACTACTGAACCGTCGCCACACTTCTGAACAGTAGTATAAGTGAAATGTAAACTTATGAAATAGACATGAATGCAAACCTGCATGGTGACCAGTCTGTCGTCCACCATCACCTCCTTGGTCAGGAAGTCGGCTCCGATAGTGGCCTTATACTGATTACTGAACTTATTATTCACATACTGGTTCATCAAAGAGGTCTTCCCAACTCTGACAGAGACAAACAAGACAAAAGGATTCAGTAGGCAATGCTTCAGAAACATGTGCAGCTGAAATCATCATCTTTAAATCTTGATAACATTCCTCAACAGTAAGATGCGATACTGCAGAGATAGTGTGAGTATTAAGTGTGAGCAAATTCCAACTGCACTGATGTTGGAAAGTCAGGGGAATTCCTTGAGTAATGTCAATAGGCAATAATGTTTACGTGTGTACAGCTACTTTAAACATGGGCCTACATAAAGAGGACAAAGTGTCACAACTGATAAGAGCATTTGAGCTCCATGAAGACTGACAATAACAATCTAAACCTCACTGATGTTGCAGAAACACTTACCCAGAATCCCCTAGGATGATCACTTTGAGCAGCACCTTCTTACGAGAAGCCATGATGTGTAGGAGAACGCTACGAAGCAGAGAAGGATATCAGATGTCAGACAGAAGATGCTTTATTGTCCACAGATAAATGCTTGACAGGTACACCTACAATGTAAAAAGTGAAACGGCACGACTGTTATTTTAAGGCACTATTTAAATCATATTGTATTTGATTGAAATGCACACTAATGAATGTGAAATATGTCTAGTTTACATTTAAATATTGTCATGAGGTCATAGATGTACTGAGGTCATTCACAAAGTCAGATGCTTATTTAAACAGATGTTGTTTTGGATAACAGTTGTCCCAAAATACAGGCCTGTTACTGTTTAGTAAATTTATATATAAATTAATAAGCCTATATCACAGACACAGAGGCTGCGAGAACTAATGGATAAAAATCAATAATGGCAATCTTTGACAACAACTGTCATTATCAAATGGTTTGTGTTCTTATATAGATTTGTAACGGTCATATTTTTATTTATTAAATATTTTTATAGCCTTGAGTTTGCCTAATATTTAATGGCGAATTAAAGGAACACATAATCAGATTAATTAAAATTTGGTTTAAATGTTAGTTGCAGAACTAGTATCAAGATTTGCAATGAACGTCATTTTAAAACGAAGCAAGGGAAAGAAGAGCAGTGATCAAACTACACCTTCAGTATTCAGTGCTAGAAGTACAAAGAATGAATTCATGTGATTCATTGAGTCATGTGACGTCACTGCTGTGAAAACATGGCAGTTACATTGTAACAAATGCTTTACTGAAACGAGTATCACAGAAGCGAAAATCACACGACCATATAAACCACAAAGTATTTGTTCTGTGTGACCAAGTAGTTGTTTGTCTGACAAGGACATGATGACACAGAAAATACTAAACAGTCAGAACGATACACAATCCATTATGAAATCAATAAGTGCAAAAACAAACAAAAGGCAATTGGGTCTAAAATTATGTAATATTCTATGCACCAATCACCTTGACAGATTTTGTGAGAAAAACAAACTGTCAGACAATTTACCTTCTTCACGTTTACCGTCGATCGCGGCTGTTTTGATATTCGCTGCGCGTCCGAATCTTCCGGAAATCTATTTGACACAAAAATTACCCAGTGTTTTTAATGATACAGAAGCACATCAGCTGTTGTCGAGCATTATATGTTTCTTCTTAGCAGAACAGGACATGACTGTAGAGTCACAAGGGTCTGACGCAAAACATTGATGTTCGAATCGTATTTCAGTCGGTTCAATTTGGTGATTCATTCGAACCGATTCGCAGGGAATTTACTTTAGGGAGAAAAGAAACGATGAGGTAGGCGACACGTTAGAGGCTAGAGCGTTTAACAACACAACAAACAATGCATATAATACAATTTATTTTACTACAAATTAATACCGCGTGGAGACTTCCGAGAACACTTTTGAGCGATATGCCTCAAACAAAGTCAAACGAATCAGTGACTTAGTTTTCGAACCGTTTGAAATTTAAATGAATCGTCCATACGAACCGATTCGCTAAAAAGAATCGGACTTCCTATTACTAGCTTAGCTGTGGAAGAGCCCTCCCTCATTTTCGAATGACTCCAAGATGGCAGGAGGAGGAAACGAATTAAACCACTTTAGCTTAGTTTATGCAGCATTACACGTTATATTGATATATTCTCCCTTTTTAAATAAATAATCGTACAAAAAATCTAAACAATTAATAATAATAACCTAAAAAACAACTTTCGCTGCTATCCTGTGTTGTGGATACAGGCAAACATTTGAATTAAAGAATTAAGCTAGTAAACTTTACATAATTATAAATATGTATATGCAGTTTAAATATAGCTGGATGGATGTACAATTTGATAAGTAAAAAAATAAAACAGGAGACTCATACCGTGATCCCTTTTGCCTACCGTCCCTCCCTCTGCCATGTCATGTGATTTGCACATTTTGATAATTTGTGTCTAAATTCCTAAATTCTGACCACACTTCCTCAATTCCTCACCTAGCCTACTTCCTTAAATCATTTGTACGCAAATATCCTAATAGATTCGACGCATTTCGAACCTTTTTGAATGCTATTAATTACTTAATTTATTGATTTATTGATTTATTTATCGCGGTCTTGTTATTCAATAGAATTCCACAAGAACGGTACTGTGATATTGGATATTGAAGGCCACAGATGAAATTGTAGGGGTCTTGATGTTGGTAAGGGGCGTGGAGAAGCGGCCATGACATATTGTGATTGATAGGTGTTTCATCCAATGAGCTGACCATACACCCTAACGTCACCAATACATTAGCCAATCGAATGTCTTGTAGCTGACTCCAGACCCATCTTTGACAGCAAACGTAAGGGCGCAGAAAAGCGAAACCTCAAAACATGTCGGTCTTCCAGTGACTATACGTTGTATTTCCCACATTTCCAGCATGTCAGTGAGCGTTTAGGTTTAAAAGCTGTGACTGTGTAATTTTGTAAAAGGGTCGACACACGGTAAGGATATTATTCGTTTCTCCTATCATGTAACCTTGTTCTGCTGTCAGCAGCATCACACCCTGCACGGCTCATGTCGTGCAATATTCAATATAACTGCAAATTAATAAAATAGTTGCATGAATGGGTTGTGCAGACTAGTGCTCCTTATTAATGTAAACACACGTACATATGTGACATGCAAATACACAGTGTGTCTTTGTGTGAAATCGACAGCAATATCTTCTATCCAGCAATATCAGTTACCCTTTATTTATATATTTATTTATATTTATGCATGTATTTACAGACACACACACACACACACACGTATATATATATATATATATATATATATATATATATATATATATATATATATATACATATATATATATATATATATATATATATATATATATATATATATATATATATATATGTGTGTGTGTCTGTGTGTAAATACATTGCATATATATATATATATACACACACACACACGTATATATATATATATATATATATATATGTGTGTGTGTGTGTGTGTGTGTGTGAATTATATTAATAAAGGATAGACAGAGATATTGCTGTAGTTATTCAAGCCCAGTATCAGTTGGCCCTGTCTTATTTATGGAGCATATTTTGCTTCTGCATCTCTATTGATTAAGCCACAATCTGTTGTTCATGCATAGCAGCTTTACACTCAGGCATCGATTCTTCTTTCTCTTGCAGAGATGGAAACTCTTATTCCCATCATTAACAGACTGCAGGAGGTTTTCCTCACAGTCGGAGCCGAGATCATCCAGCTTCCTCAGATCGTAGTCGTGGGATCACAGGTGAGTCATTAATCTAACAGTGAATGGTTTGAATTTGCATGTTTATGCAGTGCATTGAAATGGAAACCTTCACTACGTAAGGTAGGATCTCTGTATGTGATAGTACATGATGCAAGTAGGCCGACATGTATTTTCCCTGTGAAGTCAAGTATATGCTCTGTTTGTCTCTCGAAATAAATCTACAGAGCAGTGGAAAGAGTTCAGTATTGGAGAGTTTGGTTGGACGAGACTTCTTGCCCCGAGGTTCAGGAATAGTGACGCGACGCCCTCTGGTGTTACAGCTGGTGAATGTGCCATCGCTGGAGGAGAGGCGCAAGCAAGACAATGGTAACAGCTTACAAATGTGTCTCTTTAAAGGATTTATCAGAGCTGTATTCTGTATACAACATTTCTCTAGACAGTATTTTTGGGCATCATAGGCAAGGTTTTATGACATGGCCGGAAGGTTTTAAATATATTGGAAAAAAAAGAGTATTTCACACAAGAACACTTGCACATATGCACCTGCTTTGCATGCTTTAATATAGAAGTAAGTTAAATTTATTGTCAATGTTCTTAAAGGGGAAAAAAAAACATTTAAGAAATGTTCTGGGTTCAGTAGAAGACACTTCATGAGAATAAATGCTAAAATACACACTATTTTAAAAGTGTAGCCATACCTAAACATTTACCTATAGGCTAACGTTGCTTAGTAGTATACCGTTTAAACTCTGTCTGTAAGTTTTTATAGTGCATTTTTTAATAAAAAATACAGTAAAAAACATAATGTTGTGAAATATTATTGCAATTGAATGTTTTAAAAATGTAATTTAAGCTGAATTTTCAGCATCAATACTCATTGTCATATACCACATGATCCTTCAGAAATCATTCTAAATGCTGATTTGGGGCTCAACAAACATTTATTAATATTATCAATGTTGAAAACATTTGTGCTGCTATATAATTTTGTGGAAACTGATACATTGAATTGAAAGTTCAAAAGGACAGCATTTATTTGAAATATAAATCTTTGTAAAATTATAAATGGGTTTTACTTTTAATTTTGATAAATTCCAGAAAATAGTTGTTAAATTCGCTACATTTAATAAAAGGATTTAGACACCAGTGAATATTTTTTTTTAATAGAACAATTTATATATAATTAATAACCTTAATAAAAATGAGAGCTTCATATTTCTTATATTTGTGTATCATATTTCTTGTCCTATAGACTTCCATTGTAAGTCCGTTACTGTAAATGTGTTTTTTGCTCTTTTTTTCTTCCACACATAGAGCTTAACTTGTACTGAACCCGGAATATTCCTTTAAAGGGGTCATGACATGACAAATTAAATGTCTCATGATCTTTGCGTAAATGACGGTTTTACATGGATAATGTTTTCAAAACACTAACTCATGTGCAATATTGAGTGGGCGTTGATGCTGTTTCCAGTGCAATGACGTTAGCCAATCATAACAGTGGGCGTTTACTAACAAGCCTTAAAGCAGCGGTTCCCAAACTTTTTTTCCTGCGCACCCCCTTCTATGTCCCAACCGGGTTGGCGCACCCCCAATCCCCACTTCAAACAAAAAAAATGCAACAAAGCTTTGTTTAATCGCCATATAAAGACTCATGTTTAATCATGCACTAATAACCAGAACACGCATGACAATAACAACATCAACAAAGTTTCAATATAATGCAACAAAGCTACGCACAAGCTTCCACTTTTAACCATTTCACACGTAAGTTTAAAATATTTTAACTGACCCCCCAGTGTGAGTTTTTCAAGGCGACCGTTATTTAGAACTTGTCACTTTAATGTTTCCATGGTGACGCGTCATTCCTTGTCACGTGACACAGCGCAACCACAACACAGCGCTGAATGAATGATGATCTGCTTTTATGTCATTTTTCCTTTTTTATCAAAAATATTCACAAATGTATTAGCTATAGCATGAAACACTGATATTCCGATTGTCAAATATGTGCAAGTGGATGTGTTTTATTGTTCAAACACCTTCATAACGATCGTTAGTTTGTGCCACAGTTCAGAGAATCGGATCTGTTGGATTTAAAAGTGAAAGTAAGAGGCCGGTGAACTGGGAGAAGAATAGGGTAAAATGTGAAGCTCTTGTGTCGTCTTATTATAATGAAAAGGATTAATATTGCCGCTTCCATAGAAATCAGCAAAATCAAAATCATTGTTTTGCTAGTACTTATGTGTATTTAAATGTCTGAAACCTAAAATAAACATTATGTTGTTGAAAACACTCAATGGTTGTGATATATGACAGCACTGGCTCAGCGCCAGCCATCGCGCGAAAGCACATTTGTCACGTTAGCGGCTGCAGTGCAGAGCAGTGCGTAGAAGACAGCAGCTGTTTTCAACGTTTCTATCAAAAACTAATAAATTATAGGGTTTTTTTTAAAATAAAAGCGATTACAAAGGAAATGTTTACTGTTCATGGTTTTTATTTTATTGTATGGAAAAATCCCACTTACAAAACAGACCGCCATTACATTTTTCCTCTCGCGCACCCCCTGGTGGCAGCTCGCGTACCCCTGGGGGTGCGCGTACCACACTTTGGGAATCCCTGCCTTAAAGGAACCGCCTCTTAAAAACGGGTTATTTCAGACAGTGTCAGAATGAAGGTTGAAAATACTCGTTTTTCTACATATATATTTGTTATGTGTGCAAAAATGCTATTAATATTATAAGTGAACCTCAGGGAACATTACAATAATAAAAAACGTCACGTCAAGACCCCTTTAACGTCTGCTCACTATGACGTGTTCTGATCGTTCTGTGAATTTGTTTCTGATCCGCTTACAGTAACATGTCTTCCTAACACTCTCTCTGCTGTCCTTTCTTCACTTTCTCAGGAAATGGGGCTAAACAAAACTCTCAAAACACCTATCCAGGTTTCTGTTTTTCAACACTCTTTCGTCTGCATGATCTGTCCATCTCGCTGTCCTGGTGTGGTTCCCATCCCACAGCACTTGCGTCATCTACTGTTTTGTAAATGTCATTCTTTATAACCTAGAGTGTTTTCCCATCGGTTGTGTATTTTTTTTTGTATTGTTTTTACTGCTACTGTTTCCACTCTGAGACTAGAGCAAATGCACGTTTCTCAGTTGTGTACTCATGTATCCGGCCACTGTAACATTTCTGGTTGAATATTGATTTTACAATTTGTTCACTTCAGTTCTCTTTGCTGTGAAAGCCTGCTAAATGCTTTTATTCTGTCGAGGTCTTTTATGGGAAGAGGGTTTCTACAGATTCAGTGTCATTAATATTGATTTGTATTGTCTTGTGTTCTCGTTATTCTCTCTCATTCTATCTTCTAAAGGTATCAAAGCAGAGGAATGGGGCACATTCCTTCACTGCAAAAACCAGGTAATTACAAAAGTTGGGAGTTCTTGTTTGACACTATAGCCCTATTCGGACTGGACTTGATTTCATGGAGGACGTTAAAGACATTTGTGTTTCACGGGCGTATTTTGTGATTTTAATCCAGTCCGAATCTGCCATGTCTGTGTTTTTCTCACACTACCTCAGTAAAAATCCCAGGGCAAATCACCTACTGTTTTTAGGAGATCTCATCCTGTTCGAATGCGGGTGTCTGTGATTGCCGATATTGTATTTTACTAATATATAACATTAGTCCTTGTGTGTTTTTTGACCTACCTGAACTACTGTTTGTACACCAATCTTTAGCTTGCTTCAATTAAATTAAATTTCAAAAAAGTTTCGTCCAAATAGGGCTTAAAGGGATAGTTCACTTTGAAATTAATTTTTGATATGTTTTAGTTTACCTCAAGGGCATCCAAGATGTAGGTGTCTTTGCTTCCGCAGCAGTTTCAATTTTGATATTTTTAGGTCAAACCGTTCTTGTCTGTCAGTCATATAATGCAGGTCTATGGTCACCACCTCAAAGAGCATGCACAGAGAAGTCCAAATTAAACGTGATTTAATGACTCGTAAATGTAAGTACACATTAGCTATGTTTCCATCCACACGTTTTTATCCGCATTAAGTGATATCGAATGAAAAATGCCTTATGGAAACAATAAAATTCGATTGAATTTCATGAATATCGACTCAATTGAAATACGATCGGTCTCATCGGATTTTATCTTGATTGATATACGGCTTATGCGATAAACGCGGATGGAAACGTTATTATGGTGCGATCCATTTTGCCTAGTAAAACTTTGTTCGCAAATGTTGGCTTGAATGTTGTGCAATTCGGTGAGAAAATGAATGGAAACACCTTAACATGTCTCAAATCAATTCGATATACCAATTTGATCGCAAAACAGCATGTGACGTCATTGCGCACAGGTTTTTATCCGCTTTAAAGCCGTTTGATGGAAACACACTTTCACCAGCTTTATTCGCATGAGGTTTTTCACCGAACTTCAGATAATTCGATTGACAAGTGGATGGAAACATGGCTATTGATGGCATAAGACACGAAACGATCGTTTTTACCTCTTGTTACCACAGCCACGTCCAAGTGATCTGAGGGCGCGGGCGCTTCGGTCTGTGCAAGCGACGTTGTCTGTTGATATATCGAAATCGTCTTCCATTGCGATTTCCTGTATATCTAAATATGTTTAGATCTTCACAGTGAAAGGTAACACTTCCGAAATCTCTGTGTAAACAATGAGTGACGTACACGCGCGAGAGATCACTTCCGGCGCTTTCCGGAAAAGACCGAAGCGCCGGCGCCCTCAGATCACTTGGACGTGGCTGTGTTTACAAGAGGTAAAAACGATATAAATACTGTTCGTTTTCTCACACAAACCGCTCGTTTCGTGTCTTAGGCCATCAATGTGTACTTACATTTACGAGTCATTAAATCATGTTTAATTTGGACTTCTCTGTGCATGCTCTTTGAGGTGGTGACCATAGACCTGCATTATATGACTGACAGACAAGAACGGTTTGACCTAAAATATCAAAATTGAAACTACTGCGGAAACAAAGACAACTACATCTTGGATGCCCTTGAGGTAAGCTAAAACATACCAAAAATTAATTTCAAAGTGAACTATCCCTTTAAGTTTATAAAAAGGGTCATTCAGAACACTTTCAGATCAAGCTTATCACATCGATTCTATAAAGATGCTGTTTTTTTCTTTGCTCAGATTTTCACAGATTTCAATGAAATCCGGAAAGAGATTGAGGATGAAACAGATCGCAATACCGATAATAAGGTGCAGTGGAAGCATGGCACTCATCAGTGTTTCATACAGTTTGACATACACACACACTTGTCGTACCATTTGAAGGCCCGGATTTAAATGATCTCATTTAGTTGTCCTCTTTTTCCTCCTTAGGGCATCAGTCCAGAGCCCATTTACCTGAAGATCTATTCCCCAAACGTGCTCAGTCTGACGTTGGTCGACTTGCCTGGCATCACTAAGGTAACAACAATGACTGTGCATGTTATTTTGCCATGTAATGTAATGCAAACAAACTCATTTGATTTAGGATAGAAAAATAGAAGTATTATATTCTATTTTAGCTCTTAAAAATCAAAGTCTGTGAATTAAACATGTTATTTAAGTACAATTAATTATTTAAAAAATCAACTATATTAGAGCCCAAGATACTGAAATTCTTACGGTAAAAAAAAAAAAAATCTATACAAAAAATCTATAATTATTGAATTGCATAAAGTTGTAATGTATTATTTTCACAAGAATACAGATGCTGTGCACATGATGTCAGTAGGTGATTAAAAAACATGGATGAATGACAAAATAAAAAGTATGATATGCTCGATAGTACTAAAAAGAGTTATCAAAAGCGCAGTATACTGCGAAAGAGAATTTAATTTGGTACTTGACATACTGACCGATCGATGTCAGACTGCCTGTGTATTTCTGTGCGGGCGAGTACTGAATTGTGTTCCTTTTCTAGGCTTATTGCGATTGAACGGTCAAATACACACATTATTATTTTTTAAATGTCCGTCTTGGCAGGAATGTCTTAAGTAAACAAACAGTTTGGGACCTGTGAGTATTTGGGACCTTGTCAGTATTGGAGGTCTTAAAGTGACAGCAACCTAATATACCCGCTCCTGCCAGTGTCTTTAATGTTAATCAAACAACAACAGGAAAACCTAAACTTAAAGTACTGTTTGTATCTATATATTTATGTTGGTATTTATTTGTCCTATTGTCTTTTGTTTCTTTGTGCTTATTTTATTACTGACTGATTACTTGATTACTTAAATAATTTGTACTTATTTAAGACAAGTATTTGTTTTGCTTTTAAGATTTTGGTCATATTACCCACCCTAAGTGATCATGTTATTAAAGCTAAATAGTACACCGTTAGGCTAGCCCAACTAGCTATATAATTGCATTACAATAAATAAAAAAAGATATTATATCAGATTTGTGAAGTCTCAGTAAGGCTGTTCTCAAAATCCCCTTTTCCAAGTATGAAAAAAAATTGTACACTAAATGAATGCACAATCTTCGAAAGTCAAATCCAGTGTCTAGTTCTTACTAATATGAAATGAAATTAAAATCAGCGCTGAAATCACAGAACATAAAGAAAATGCTCTTAAACATTGATGTTCAATATAATAGCAGCACCTTTATTCACCTTAACAATTAATAAAGCAGTGTTAGCAAAAACATATGTGGCACACTTTATAATTTTCCAAAAGCTCCGGTCAGTTTGGATGAAAAACGGCCTGATTGTTATGTCGATACGCTAATGTATCGCCACATGCTATGTGCCGATATGAGCATCGATACAGCTTCTGTAGCAGTTCCACAGAACGTGTGCAGACTAGTGGACTGTGCTTGATTTGAATACAAGAACAGCGAAATTTAAAAATGCAAGATTTATGAAATGAATTAACGTAATACTGTAATGAAGAAGGCCTGTGAGCAATTGCCTGATATCAAGAGATGTAATCCCTAAATCAAAGCTTCACGATTGGGAAATATTCTGCTATGCGCACATGCTCAGTCTCCATGAATAAAAGCACAGGTTTTCTGAAAACGCTGGTACGCTTGAAGTTTAGCGGTCTCCAGTGCGATATTCTGTTCAAAGAAATGTGTAATACTGCAAGTCTGTGTTCATTCATAATGAGGTTTGTGTTATTTTCTGCTGTCAAATCTATGAGCAAAATTTCTGTGATTAAATCCAAATATCTCGACTGTAACGTCTGCGTTTGTGATTCCCGAATAAATGCCCTCGCGCAACCGAAGTTTTGATCATGATCATCTGGACATGTTGAAATAGTAGGTATATTACTAAGTTTCGGCTTTTATTTTATTAGCTTTCATAAGTGTAGAGAGTGTTAATTGATTTGTAGAAGGACTTTATAACTGATAATAGTTGTATAAGTTACCATTGTGACTTTGTTGCTGATACACAGCCCTAATATTTAAGCAATTGTACAGTAAAATTGTGGCAAACACCATTGCGCTCCATCCAGTACTTCACTCTCCAGTCCAGTAGGTGGCAGAAATGCAGCATTCTACTTATTCTGATGTTTTAGTGGTGGTTGGCAAACCAATGGAAAAGTGCATTTCTGCATTAAGGTGCGATTTTTGATGCAAAAAAAAATACATTGTGATGTATGAAGCACAAGTCAGAAGTCACTTTCAAACCACGCAGCTTTGTTTTGGTCAAAGCTGCAAATTTGCATGAAAACCTTGAACCCATTGCAAAATCTTGTTTGGGGAAATCATTCGCCCTCACTCAGAATTCCCAATCTCATGGATTCCTATTGAAATATCTGGATTACGCCCTGTAAAATTGTAAATATGTCTCCGCTTTTAAAGATAAAATAACTGAAATCCATTCGTTCATTCAATCTTTGTCACATCATGATATGCTCTTTTTTGTGTAGGTCCCGGTTGGTGACCAGCCTGAAGATATTGAGACTCAAGTCCAAGAGATGATTGTGTCCTACATCTCCAACCCCAACTCCCTCATCCTGTGTGTATCTCCTGCCAACTCTGACCTCGCCACATCTGATGCCCTTAAACTGGCACGAGAGGTGGACCCAGATGGTGAGCGACATGCAGAGAAGTCCAGATGTCATTATTGCACCATTGAATGGCATTGTGGGAAGGGAATGTACTCATCGTCTGTTGCGCTCAGGTCACAGGACGCTGCTGGTCGTGAGTAAGCTGGATTTGATGGACGCGGGGACAGATGCTCTGGAGGTGCTGCTGGGCCGCGTCATACCAGTCAGACTGGGCATTATTGGTGTGGTTAACAGGTCAGTGGCTTTAAACATTTGTTGAAAATGCAAACAATCATTTTTATTTTCCATAAGGCAGATTTTAATGAGATTAGAAACATAAACGTATCCTATCCTGATTTTAAACTAAAATTTTAAAATCCAAAGCAGCAGACTTATATTTAAAGGTTTAGTTCACCTAAAAATGAAAACTAAGTCATGATTTACCACACGTCCTTTCTTTTTTAACTTCACGTTTGGCCATATAATTGCAGTGAATAGCGACCGGCATCAAAAAGATGCAAAAGTATCACAGAACGGTCCGATGTGACGTGCCGTATGTTCCAAGTATTCTAGGGGTAAATGATAGAGTTTGAAATTGAATGGGTTATTTAACGAATAACCTGATCTTGGCCGTCGGTCTTCTGTTCACGGCTGAGCATTCATGAGACTCTGTTAGCGCCCAGAAAAAGCACACAAGTTGTGAGAAATCAAGATGAATAAAAACGCGACATGAAATGCAATCCTGAATATATCCGTTGTGTTCGTCGTAACAAGAAGCTATCGCGTTCACATCTGTCAACTGTCATTCTGACTGTCATCGGACAAACTGACTTCGGGTCCGGAGATGTTCGACTCAGTGTAGAAAGTACACAGATTCTTTTTTGGGATTTCTTTTTCTGGGCGAGACTAAATTTTCAGTTTGTTTTTCACCAAACCCTATCGTACACCTCCAGAACTCTTGGAATATGCAACACGCGTCACATTCAGGACATTTTTTATAATTTCTCTGTTTGTGGTCCATAAAAGAAAAAAGGGCATACGGCATTTGAACACCAGGGTGAGTAAATGATGACTTAATTTTCATTTTAGAGTGAACTATCCCTTTAAGTCACTCATAATCTTCATAATCTTCCCATATAACCTTTGATTTTTCTCAGTGGAAACTAAAAAAAGTAATTGTTTAGGGCTCTACAGTGCAAACACTTCATTTAAATTGTGAACAAAATGCAGTAAAAATGACTAGGCGACATGACAAGGGATGTACATTTTGAGCAGATTTTCATATTCATAGTCAATTGTCATTCAAATTAACAGTCGATTAATCTGTAATGTTTATGTTGCAAAATGAATGTGGAGAATTCCAAATATCATGTACTTGTTGCCTTCATTTAAAAATTGAAATATGTTTAAGAAATACGAGCATTGTTTTTTTTTTTTATTAAAGCTATTTAATATGAATTTCATTTGCTATTAAATTATTACTGTTAATAATAATGTGTATATAAAATGCAGATACACTTACACTACCATTCAAAAGTTTGGGGTCTGTAAGATTTCTTAAAGTTTTTGAAAGAAATCTCTTCTGCTCACCAAGGCTGCATTTATTTGATCAAAAATCCGGTAAAAACAGCAATATTGTGAAATATTACTCCAGTCTTCAGTGTCACATGATCCTTCAGAAATCATTCTAATATGCTGATTTCGGTGCAACATAAAGTTGGTTTCGGTTGCACTTTATTTTCAAAGAACTGGTAATATAAGGTACCTACATGGGTTAAGTAGGTTAAGGTTATGTTTAGAGATGGGTTCAAGGTTAGTACCTAGTTATTACCCAGTTATTATAATTACTATAATAAGTACATTATGAAAACCGTGATACATTTTTTTTTTTTCAGGATTCTTTGATGAATAGAAAATTCAAAGGCACAGTAATTATTCAAATGTAACTTTGACAGTAATTAAAATGTTACTTTACTGTGACTTCTGGTCAATTGAATGTGTCCTTGCTGAATAGAAGTATTCATCAAAAACTTACTGACCCCAAACTTGAGAATAATTGTAAAATCTAAATTTTTGACTGTGCCCCTACAAATTTCACCTCAGTGGCTTCCAAACAAAAATCATAGAGCCCTGTAGCTCTTTTAGCAGCACAAGTGGTCATTTCACCTTGAAACTGCACCAATTTGGACCTGCAGCGATGTATTTCACACATTTAGCAAAAATGCACTCTGTTTTTTCTCATGAGACCAAGGAGATCATTACAGCTCATTTACATATGAAGTCCTAAAGGCACAGCAGCAAACACAGCCTGTTTAAGCGTGAGGGTTAGAGAGAGGGTGAAAGAATGACCATGTAAAAGAACTTCACAACATGCACAGGAAATCCTGAATGACACTAAGAGGGCTTCAGGGAAAGAATAAAGTGTAGCACACGGCCCTTTCGACTTCTTTTACTGCGGTAGAAACTTAATCAACCGTGTGAAAAAGCATTGCGACATTTTAACAGTGTCATTTTCTTACATTTCGAGTTCCTCTATCATTACCCCTAAGGAGCAGTGACTGTAATATTCCCTACGCTGTTATCCTCTCCTGCCCTGCCTTTTTAAGCACAAGCACCCAAGGGTACCACGTCTACCCGCTATCAGCTAACAGAGCCGCGCCGGAGATAAATCATTGGTTCATTCAGCTTTGGCTGTAGCATGTCCTTTACGAATACAGGGAGACAATTTAGTTGGGGGAGAAGAACTGCAGTGACACTTTTCATTTCTCGACTCTCGTTAACTTAATCGGAAACAGCTGCAGGCCAACGTCTCTTCAATATTAACCGACACTCGCTTTGAGGATTCAAACAACGAGCAGTCAAACAGGAAAGCACTTGAAGATTTCCTGGGAGAGCATTTATGGAGAGCGAGCACTGGCAACAAATAACAAAGACGTGTTCAGTGCAATATATTGATCAGTCATTTACTTTTTATCAGTAGACCTCAATACTTAAAGTCAGAGATTTAAACCAATCCTTAATCTTTAATATTGCATGTAAGTATGCATCTAGTCCAATGCCATTTGGCCTACAGACTTGAATGATTCTTCAAATCATGTGTTATGGAAGAGAATTCTGACTTCCAACTGCTGGATGATAAAACAGGCAGAACTTAGACTTGAAGGAAGAACCCGAGCCATAACAAAATAGCATAAAGACTTGAACCAGTAACCAAATACTCCAAACCTGCCCTAGTAATCACATCAAAATTCGCTAGCAACCATCTTCAGTGCCACAGAAGTGTGGCAAATTAGGTTTTGCCCATGAAAGCACTATTTACATTTACTTTAGAAAATGCAAAAATGTTGCTTTCATTCCAAGTTATCTCGTGCACAGTACAACCAAAGTTACAGCTTCTTCTTTTCCAGTAGTAGTGGGCAGTATACTAACAATTTTCAGCTCACCTCTGTCCTGTAAAAATGCACTGCAGATTGTTTTAGAAATTCACTATGACCAAAAGGAAAGAGCTGTACACTTTCATTTGTCAAAGAACAATACATGCCTAATGATGCCAACAATCTCTATATTTAAAGTCAACATGAAATCCAAAGTAACTCTGTAAATAGTAGATTTACTGTCCAAATGAGCCTTCAAAATGTGATTTGACTTGCTCTTTCTCTAAATTGACCTCTTTTTTGACCTCTCCAACCACCCTTTTCATATACACTGCCATTCAAACCTTTGGGGTCAGTAATTTTTTTTTTTTTTAAAGAAATTAATACATTTATTTAGTTAAATTGATCAACAATGAAAGTAAAGACGTGTATAATGTTACAAAACATTTCTATTTCAAAGAAATGCTGTTCTGAACTTTCATCAAAGTATCCTGAAAAAAGTGTGTCACGGTTTTCACAAAAATATTTCATAACATTGATAATAATATTTCTTGAGCACCAAATCATCATATTAGAATGAATATGAGGAATACATCATATTTTAAAATACACTAAAATGTAATAAAATTTCATTTTGACCTAATTTTCAATCAAATCAAATAAAGGTGTGAATTTTCACTTGCCTTACAATTTGATTTGATTAAGATTCAGAGGGTAACATTTGGATTATAAAACGTTTCTTGATACACCACGATGCATCTTTTTCTCCAATTCTTTTATTAATAATAATTACTATATTACTAATCACAATACAGTTATTAAAAAGAAGAACAAAGATGCAAATAACAACCAGTAGAACACATACAGTATAAGAAACAGATGAAAAGAACAGTGCTTTTTTTTTCAGTTTACATCCATTTAACATTTAACAGGACCCCTTGTTATGCTTTTTCAACTTTAGTTAGTGTGTAATGTTGCTGTTTGAGCATAAAAAAGATCTGCAAGGTTACAAAGCTCAAAGTCCACTCCAAAGAGAGATATTTTATTGATCAGAATCCACTTTTCAAGAACTACAATGAAAGACTTGTTTGGACTGCAATGCGATTTTTAGTGATCTTATGAAATCACAATGTTTCTCATTTAAATAATCCCCGCCCACGGAAAAGGCAAAAAAGCGGCCGAGGCCTGTTAGAGCTGTGTTATCGCTGTCAAAGAGATGCTGTTTTTTCCACAACATTCCATTTGTTTGACCTTAAAGGGGTTAAAACTTAATTCCTGAACATTAAAACCCCAACGTTTATCTCTCCGCTGCACATTTTATGGGGAACAGCTTGTTTTCTGTTGCTTTTGTTAGCTCTCGCTTTTGTAAGTCTGTTCACCAATGTTAAACATGGTTTTGTGATCGATTACTGCTTGTAATTACCTTAGTTTTCCGACAAATATCACGATTAATTGGTGGATAACATTGTATCTATAATGTATAAGGAAATTACAAAAAACATACCACTCTGAAACGTCCGGTGAAATCCGTGCTTTCAAAGTCCTCTTGTTCGTTAACATTGTCAGGGTCTGAATCAGGCTTGAATTGGTTTGAAATTGATGCCATCCGCAATATTTACTCTGGACATTTTCCGGAAACAAAGCGCTGCCAATCACAACACACTGGGCCAGCTAACCAATCACAGCACATTTTGTATTTCGGAAGGAGGGGCTTCATCTAAATCGGCATGTTCGGCCAGACTGGGGAGAGAGGAGCTGTAATAATGTAAAATATGGGGAAAAATAATGCGTTTTTGAACAATCAAGCATGGAAACATATTCTAGTACTGTACACCCCAAAAACAAAATCAAGACTTCGTAAAAGGGCATAATAGGACCCCTTTAACAGCATTCAAGTAATACATATTACAAAAATTAAATTATGATTATTATCAAATGTAAAAATGTCTTAAGTGTATTAATTGCAAATAAATAGATTATTATTAAAGCTACGCAAGTTCTTCAGTCAAGAGCAGTCAAAAGAATTCCCTGTTTTCTTTTGTTGAATGATTAAAACACTAATGACACTGACAGAAGCAGGTTTGTTATATAAAGACCTAATGCACGGATCCAACATAATGTTACACATAATAAGATATAATATAATAAGTAGTAGTATAATAAGATTAGCCTACTTTATTTACAATAAAACAGTACATTGATATGTAAATAGGTCTATTTAATTGCATAAAAAAAGATTATTTTGTTTTATGCATCAATGCAGAATCTTTCTCATTAGCATAAAATGATATTTATGAAAAAAAAAATATTTATGTTCCATAGCTCTAAAATAAATGCAGCCTCGGTGAGCATAAGAAACTTGTGACAAAACCAAAGGCAGCTGCTGTGCTACCCAGTCAATCATTTCACAGTCATTTATTTTAACAGAAGGTTCCTCCTCCTTTTTTCCTCCTAAAAAACATCATGTTTAATGATATAGAACAAATCCAAAAAAGTTGTAGAGACAACCAAGTAAATAGAAGTTGTTTTTATGTTTTCACCCTACAGCTGAATCTCACATAGAGGATTGTGGAAGTCATAAACAGCAGTTGAAACATACAGTACCTGTCAAAAGTTTCTTATGTGTCTTATCCTCACCCAAGGCTGCATTTATTTAATCAAAAATACAGTAAAAACAGTAATATTGCAAACTATTATTACAATTTAAAATAACTGTTTTCTATTTGAATATATTTTAAAATGTAATTTATCCCTGTGATCAAAGCTGAATGTTCAGCATCATTACTCCAGTCTTCAGTGTCACATGATCCTTCAGAAATCATTTATTATTATCAATGATGAAAACAGTTGTGCTGCTTAATATTTTTGTGGAAATTGTGATACTTTTTTTCAGGATTCTTTGACAAATAGAAAGTTTAATGAACAGCATTTATTTGCATTTATGAATTAGAAATCTTTTATAACATAAATGTCAACTGTCAATTTAATGCATCCTTGATTTAAAAAAAAGGTTTTCTCTCTCCCTCTTTTTTTTTTAATCTGAGCACAAATGTTTGAATGGTATCATTGTTTCCACAAAAAAAATGTTAAGCCTCTAAAACTATTTTCAACACTAATAATAATCAGAAATGTTTCTTGAGCAGCAGATCATCATATTAGAATGATTTCTGAAGGATCATGTGACACTGAAGACTGGAGTAATGATGCTGAAAATTCGGCTTTGATCACATGAATAAATTACATTTTACAATTTATAAAAATGGAAATGTATTTTTAATTGTAATATTTCACAATATCACTGTTTTTACTGTGTATTTTTGAGTAAATAAATGCAGCCTTAGTGAGCATAAGACACTTTATTTTAATGTGACGTAGTTACGCTACACTTCACTACTAAATGTACTTACTATAGTAATAACAGTAAATTATGAATAACTAACCCTAACCATAACTCTATAGTAAGTACATGTCGTTAATTAATATTACTTATTTGAGTAAGTACAATGTAACTACGTCACCTTAAAATAAAGTGTAACCAAAAATTGCAATGTTTCCAAACTTTTGACAGATAGTGTATATTCTGCCTAAAACCTTCTAGATGAAAGCATGTTGTTGAGAGTGAGTTCAGATCCGCCTTGGTGCCTTCCTACTCCTGTTTAAAAATTTTGCAGCCTTTGATCCACTATTCAATCCTATAATTTTTTTTTTTACTTCACCAGGAGCCAGCATGACTTGAACACCCAAAAGTGTCTCACTGACTCCAGCAAAGACGAGCAGGCGTTTCTTCAGCGCCATTACCCGTCATTAGCCTCCCGCTGCGGCTCTCGCTACCTGGCTCGCACCCTGAGCCGACTGCTAATGCATCACATCAGAGACTGCCTCCCCGAGCTCAAGACACGAGTCACCGTGCTCGCCTCCCAGTACCAGTCCCGACTCAACAGCTACGGGCAGCCTGTGGAAGACCACAGCGCCACCTTGCTGCAGATCGTCACCAAGTTCGCCACCGACTACTGCAGCACCATCGAAGGCACTGCCAGGCACATCCAGACCTCTGAATTGTGAGTACATGAGCCAGAACATACAAGTTCATTTAAAGTCACCATGTAATCAAAATGGACAATTCAAAAAAAAAATGTTTTTTAATTCATATGCCCTCAATTGATTGATTGATTGATTGTTTGCAGCCAGGATGGAAAAAAGGTGAAAATTCTTCTCAAAGTGCTTCTCTCAATTTATTTCCTAGAAAACTAAAACCAAACAACGTAGGAAATAGGTTCTTCAAAAAAGAATCATTGTATATCTATACCGGGAACCAAGTTTTAAAGTCAGCATGAAATAAAAATATATTTTCTAAAATCTTGTTATAGACCTTATTGCAAAAGATTCATCCATGTATAATAATTCATTACATTTATCTAGCGCTTTTCTCGGCACTCAAAGCGCTTTACATAGAGGGGAGGGGGGGGGGGGGGGGGGATCTCCTCAACCACCATATATTTACATTTACATTTATTCATTTAACAGACGCTTTTATCCAAAGCGACATCCAAATGAGAAAAATAGAAGCAGTGAAATTAACAGCAGGACAACAATATGCAAGTGCTATGACCCCTCTGTTTCATCTAACGCAGTCCATGTAAATAATATATATATTTTTTTATAAATAAAAAAAATAGAATAGAAGAGAAAGTGTTAGTGTTACTGGATCAAGTGCTGCCGAAAAAGATGCGTCTTCAGCTGTTTCTTGAAAGTGGCTTTGGTGGTTTCTTAGTTGAGTTAGGCAGATCATTCCACCAGCAGGGAACAGTCATGGTAAATGTCCGAGAAAGAGATTTTGTGCCTCTTTGAGATGGTACCACAAGACGACATTCGCTTGCAGAGCGCAAGTTTCTGGATGGCACATAAGTCTGAAGTAATGAGTTTAGGTAAAAGGGAGCAGTGCCAGTGGTTGTTCTGTAGGCAAACGTCAGTGACTTGAATTTAATGCGAGCGGCAACTGGCAACCAGTGGACTTTTGTGAGGAGCGGAGTGACGTGTGCTCTCTTTGGCTCATTAAAGACCACTCTGGCTGCAGCATTCTGGATCAGTTGCAGAGGTTCGACAGAGCAAGCTGGAAGACCAGCCAGGAGAGCATTACAACAGTCTAGTCTGGATAGAACAAGCGCTTGAACAAGGAGTTGTTTAGCATGCTCTGTTAGGAAGGGCCTTATCCTCTTAATGTTGTGCAAGGCAAATCTACACGACCGGGCAGTTCTAGCAATGTGGTCTGTGAAGTTCAATTAATCATCAATTACAACCCCAAGATTCCTGGCTGACCTTGATGGAGTTATGGATGATGAGCCTAGCTGAATGGAGAAGTTGGGACGAAGTGTTGGGTTGGCTGGGACCACAAGTAGCTCTGTCTTCGCAAGGTTTAGTTGAAGGTGGTGGTCCTTCATCCAGCCAGAAATGTCTGTCAGGCAGGCTGAGATACGAGCAGGTTCGTGGGATCGTCAGGCTGGAATGAGAGGTAGAGTTGTGTGTCATCAGTGTAGCAGTGATAGGAAAAGCCATGTTTCTGAATCACAGATCCTAGTGATGTCATGTAGATGGAGAAGAGAAGTGGTCCAAGCACTGAGCCCTGAGGCACCCCAGTAGCTAGATGTTGGGTCTTAGACACCACACCCCTCCACGACACCCTAAAGGACATACCTGAGAGGTTAGACTTGAACCATTGGAGTTCGGTTCCCGAGATGCCCTTCATCTCTAGGATTGACAGGAGGATCTGGTGGTTAACTGTGTCAAAGGCAGCAGACAGATCCAGCAGGATATATGTTAATGTTTCCTTCTTTCTGTGCTTTGTTTACAATCGTGTCGTTTTTGGTCTGAATTTGAAAAGGCCTGTTTTTTAAAGCCCCAATTAAAAGTAAGCATTGGCCATTTATTTGTAACTTCAATACAACGGTAGACACAAAGAAATTGCACAAAGCCAGCCAATTAGGTTTGAGCTTGTGATCTGAGAAAGCTCTTGCCTTTTTTTTTAGCACAAAAATCCTAACTGTGATCTGTGGAGCCACTTACTACAGGCTGCCATCTTGCACCAAGTTATCAAGTTTGACATATTGTCATTACCAGGGCTACATTCCTGCTGAATCCTTCTTTCGGTGACTTCAGCAACGTCTCAGTCTGTCATTTTCGCACTGAAACTCATGACAGATATCAAGCACACCATGTTTACTTTGTCTGCTTGGCTGAATTTGACAGGCAGATAATCCTCAAGTCTGCCCAACTCCTTATTTACACCCTGTTCACTGTTGGATGAAATGCTGTTCATCTCTCATATCTGGCTAAGTCCACACCAGCTATCGATTAATTAAGTGCCTCGTATTGATGTTTTCTGTATGACTCCAGGCCTGTGTGAATGTGCCAACAAGGCTGTGATGTCCAAAAGTGCTGCATGATTTTACATTTTCATGGATTGACTTGACTGACTGTGTGAGCATTTGTTCATTGTAGGTGTGGAGGAGCTCGGATCTGTTATATATTCCACGAGACATTTGGAAGAACCCTGCAGTCAATTGACCCACTGGGAGGACTCACTGAGCTAGATATTCTCACAGCTATTCGAAACGCCACGGTATAATATTTACATGTTTATGCATGCATGTGTGTGTAAATAGATAAGCATATACAGTACTTTGCTCACTTTCTTAAAAATAAAGTGTGTAATTTCTACACTATGAGCGTCACCAAACCGAATTGCCCAAATGAGGACAGTTATTTTTCAAACAGACACAATGTTATGGTTTAAAGCGTCATATTCATGTCATTGACATGAAGAGTTTTAGGAACCGCAAATAAATGCTGGTTCGGATAGCTTTTTCAAGGTTCCCACAGTCACGGAAAACCTAGAATTGTAAAAGTGTGAATTCCAAGCCTCCAAACGTTAAATAAATCTTAAAAATGAATAAAATAATTTCTTAATAAATAATATATTTAAAATTAATTGAAAAGTCTTTGAAAAATCTATAGTGTTATTCACTACTATTTAAAAGTTTGGGTTTTTTGAAAGAAGTCTCTTATGCTCGACTGCATTTATTTAATCAAGAATACAGTAAAACCGTATTATTGTAAAATATTATTGCAATTTAAATTAAATGTTTTCTATTTGAAATTTATTTTAAAATGGAATTTATTTCTGTGATGCAAAGCTGAATTTTCAGCATCATTACATTTCTGATTATCAGTAAATATTTTTTACCAGCCATGAAAAATCTTTTTGTTGTTTGATTAACATTAAAAACACAGCAGCAGGAATATTAGGCTGCTGTCACTTTAAGAGCTAATGCACGGATCCAATATACTGATGCACATGTGTTTTCTTTCTCAACTGTTTAAGTTCACTTAAGATATAAATGAATACTTCCCTAGACGGGCTTTTGACATAACTTTGTTTGAATGTGTCTGTTCAAGCTTAGTACGTGAAAGAGGGCTCAATTCAGTATGCACGTGCTGTCTGAGACGAATTTCTGGGCTCACGCTTCGGTAACGAGTAACGAATTGAGTTCCCTTTTGCTTCTTCTTGCGCTTGAATATTTGAATTGACGAATTGGCGCGTCAACTGTCCCGAGTGTCATTCTCGTTTGTTCACATTAATATTATTCTCACAACATTGCATTGTTAGAATTCATAAAAATGTTACCGGCCAATTGGTGATAGAAACTGTTTAATATACTCGCCAACGCGGATTTTTACACGCATTTGGCGCTTGGCAAGTGTTATTTTAGGCCGTGTTATCAATGTTCAAAACAGTTTTTGCTGCTTAATATTTTTTTCAAAAAAAGTGTGATACACTAGCATTTAGAAGTTTGGGGTAAGTAAGAGTAAAACAATTTATATTGATTGAATTAATAATGAATTAATACATTCATTCATTATACTTGTTGATAAGGATGCATAAAATTGATCAAATGTGACATTAAAGACATTTCTTGTAATGTTTTGAATTTTCTATTCATGCGGTTCCTAAGAATCATGAAAATAATGTATCATGATTTCCACAAAAAAATATAGTAGATAGTAAAATATGGTAATTTTAATCAAATAAATGCAGCCTTGTTGAGACTTCTTTCAGAAAACATTTCCAAAAATCAAACTTTCAAAATTATGACCGGTAGTGTATATATTTGTTTTGCTTAAATCTAAAATATTACTTCTAATATAAATTGTTCTTTGTGAGTGCAATCACTATTAAATTAAACCTTATCTAGTAGAATAGCTGGAAAAGCATTGGTCAGACGTTGTGGAAACACTTCACGGATGTAGACTAAATGTGGTTTGAATGTATTTGGTTGTTGTGATGGATGTAGGGTCCTCGGCCAGCTCTGTTTGTTCCTGAGATCAGCTTTGAGCTGCTGGTGAAGAAACAGATCAAGAGACTGGAGGAGCCCAGCATGCGCTGTGTGGAGCTCGTACACGAGGAGCTTCAGAGGATCATCCAGCACTGCTCGGCCTACAGCACACAGGTGCTTCACTGCTTTTGAATATTTGATGCAGAAAAATGGAATATTAGGTAGTGTAGCCAGTCTTAAAATCTTAAAACTTTACTCTCCTATCAGTGCTTTATACGTATACATTAATTGGGTAGTTAGTAGGACTTTGCGAAATATCGGGAGAAAAACGCAACATGGCTTAGTCCGATTGTCAAATTGCGCAGGAGGCTGGGGTTTCAGTAAACGTATGTGCTAGTGCTTTCAGAGTGAATCGTGTTATTTACACTTGTGTCGTTCATGATACAGTGTTTCAGAGTCTCAGAACAGCTGGTTTACTGTGAATCAAGCCGTTCTGAGACGCTGTGAGCTGCACATGCACACTGCTAACTCATTTATTTATTGTCGGCAACCCGTCAAAATAAATGCTTGATGATATAACGGTTGAAAATGAAGATATTAAGACGTACATGTTAGTATTGTAATTTTACAGTGAAATAAATTAATTGTATTAGTCTATTTAACAGTACAATAGCATTATTTATGACAATATATTTCCTATTTTGTTTAATATATTTAATAATCACAAAATCATAATAATTATTATTTTAGTCATATTGAATTGCTCAAAAACAAATTGATTATGGCCTATGAAAGAGAGATTTTTTTAAAACTTTACGGTTCACTTTATGGTTTGAGTTGGTTTTATAAAGAGTAAACCTTAAATCACAGACAAATCGCATACCTGAATAATGTTTTTTTCTTCAATATTGTGCAGGGGTGCGTTTCCCAAAAGCCAAATGTGACCGCATATTTTGACATTACCAACATAGTTAAACAATTTGCTGTTTGTACAATAGCACGTCATTAACAACAGTCCTATAGGGCTAGTGATCTAGCGTTTACTAGAGCCATTTTCATAATCACAAAATCATAATTATTATTTTATAGTCATATTGAATTGCTCAAAAACAAATTGATTATGGCCTATGAAAACTCAGAGAAAGATATTTTTTAAAACTTTACGGTTCACTTGGTTTGAGTTGGTTCTTATAAAGAGTAAACCCAGGTATGAACACCCAAAATTTTCATAAACTGTCAAGCCCTAAAAGTATTTCTCCCATCCATCCGTCCATCCATCCATCCATCCATCCATCCATCGTTTTTGCGTTTCCCAAAAGCCACAAAGGAAACAGTCGTGACTAACTAGTTAATTTTCTACAATGATGCATCGTACTATGGTGGACAAGCAGTGAGTTACGTCATTGTGCGGGAAATGCACCCCAGCCTAGTTAGATGCTAATGTTGTTGTGCCATCTATACCGTGATGATTCATTCTGTGGCTCAATTTCCATAAATGTTCTGAGTGACCAGTGGAGGAAGCGATGCGGCCTGAATGTTAGAATGTGTCTGCATAGTGCTGTACGTCAAACTCTTATTTCAAACAATTAAGAAATTTCTGTTTTCCCTGACAAGCCTTTATAGCTCAGAATTTCTACAAAATGAAATGTGAAGAGGAGAGTGAAAGTCACAGTCTTCACAGATTGACACACAGAGGCTCAGGACAGCCGGCATTAGGATTCTCTCCTCATTCTGCTCTTATCTTCTCTGTCCTGCTGCCTTCACTGTGTACATTTGTTTTACATTAAACATTCTTTTCGCTTTCCTCTATTATATACAAAAATCTAATGTCATAACGTGTGCTGAAGGGAACAGATTTGATGCTCATAATATTTGGAAAGGTGTTGGGAGAATATTATACTTTACTCTTTCACATAGGAAGTGTTCAAATGTTTTAAATAATTGACAACTAACCTGCCGTATGTACTGTATGTGTGTTTGTGTATGTCCGAAGGAGCTTTTGCGGTTTCCCAAACTACATGATTCAATAGTGGAGGTGGTTACCAGCTTACTCAGGAAACGTCTGCCCATTACCAATGAGATGGTAGGAACATATGCCTGTGGCTGCACCTACACTACTTTATACTATCCTCGAAGACTTGTATTACAGTAACCTGATCACGATTAAGGCATGTACTTGGACATGATGAAAAGCTTTTATAAAACAGCAGAAACAATACAGTACCAAATGTGTTTCATGCAGTTAGTATATTGGCATCCGTTAGTATTGAATATATGTAAGCAATAATGTACTCAAGGCCATGCTGTATTTTGAATACAGACTTGACTAAAGGATGTTGTTAGGCAAACGTTAAAGCTGCAGTCCATAGTTTTTCCTCGTTGTCGCCATCTCTGTTCGAAATCTGCAATTGCAGTTATTAGCGTAATTATCAACTTTACGTGAGTTGTGCCTCGACACGGCACAGCGCGGATGAATCCAATGTTTTGAGGAGAATGTGCAGCTGTCAGTCGCCGCACCGGTGTGGATACTGGCATTCGCAATCACAGATTCTACTTTTTGGAAGTATGACCAACATAATCATTTTCACCGGAAAATGTCGTAAGTAACATCCACTATTGTTCTGACCAACTAAGGGAGAAAAAGCATTGCAGTAAATCGCGCTGATTAAATCTAACGATCGCTTATCATTATCAAACCGTGCAAATTATACTTTGTTCTCAAATTGTTAATGTTAACAACATCAGCATTGCGTGACTACATTTAATGCCCTGATAAGTATCCTTGTTTTCGCATGGGTCCGGTTGCAGTCTCTTCTTTCTGTATCCACTCCGAAGTCCGAACGAAGTCTTTTGCATTTTACAGCGGGTGAATCTGTTGTCACTGGTGATTGTCGTCTGAACCTTTCTGGATCCGCAATTAAATTGAAAAGTTTAATTATATCAAGTGCTGTGAGAAAAGGCTATAAATCTCCACCTCCAACATACTCACACGCAATATAGCCTACTAGCCGAGACTCCTTCTTAATGTGTACAGATGTGACGTAATGACTCAATATAGCCGACTAGCCGAGACTCTTCTTTATGTGTACAGATGTGACGTAATGACTCAATATAGCCGACTAGCCGAGACTCCTTCTTTATGTGTACAGATGTGACGTAATGACTCAATATAGCCTATAGCCGAGACTCCTTCTTTATGTGTACAGATGTGACGTAATGACGCAAAGACATGCTCGAATCTCCCGCGGAAATCCACCAGTACCACTGGAATTAAAAACATTATTACAAGCTTACCGGTTTGAATCGAGCTAAGGCAAGCAGATAGTGTTGAACACTGGTTATGTATTTGCTGAAACAATTACAGATCCTTCTCAAAAAATTAGCATATTGTGATAAAGTTAATTATTTTCCATAATGTAATGATAAAAATTAAACTTTCATATATTTTAGATTCATTGCACACCAACTGAAATATTTCAGGTCTTTTATTGTTTTAATACTGATGATTTTGGCATACAGCTCATGAAAACCCAAAATTCCTGTCTCAAAAAATTAGCATATTTCATCCGACCAATAAAAGAAGTGTTTTTAATACAAAAAAAAAAGTCAACCTTCAAATAATTATGTACAGTTATGCACTCAATAGTCAATACTTGGTCGGGAATCCTTTTGCAGAAATGACTGCTTCAATGTGGCGTGGCATGGAGGCAATCAGCCTGTGGCACTGCTGAGGTGTTATGGAGGCCCAGGATGCTTCGATAGCGGCCTTAAGCTCATCCAGAGTGTTGGGTCTTGCGTCTCTCAACTTTCTCTTCACAATATCCCACAGATTCTCTATGGGGTTCAGGTCAGGAGAGTTGGCAGGCCAATTGAGCACAGTAATACCATGGTCAGTAAACCATTTACCAGTGGTTTTGGCACTGTGAGCAGGTGCCAGGTCGTGCTGAAAAATGAAATCTTCATCTCCATAAAGCTTTTCAGCAGATGGAAGCATGAAGTGCTCCAAAATCTCCTGATAGCTAGCTGCATTGACCCTGCCCTTGATAAAACACAGTGCACCAACACTATGGCGTTATATATGTGCCTCATTCCTGAGCGAGTAATTGTAAGTTTTGAGCACAGAGAACTATATTTTGCAAGCACATTTCATTATATTTTGAACAGAAATTAACAATCGCAAAAAAAAAATCGTTTGAGCAAAGAAAAAACGATTCCGTGCTCAATAAATGTATTTGCTATTATCCATATTAACGTGCAATAATAACCCCTCTCACGCAGTTTACTCAGGTGCTCTCTCACAAACTTATTCTCTGCGCTCCTGTCAAGTTCCTCTCTCTCTCTCTCAACCTCTTAATTCTGTGCGCGCTCAACTCTTGACACACGCGCGCTCAACTCTTGATACACACGCGCGCTCAACTCTTGACACACGCGCGCTCAACTCTTGACACACGCGCGCTCAACTCTTGACACACGCGCGCTCAACTCTTGATACACACGCGCGCTCAACTCTTGACACACGCGCGCTCAACTCTTGATAGACACGCGCGCTCAACTTGCAACAGCGTTACAAGTGTGCCACAAAATCAACCAATCGGAAAATTAAAGGTCAATTGTGATTGGCTGTGGGTCTCCAATCACCACGCAGCACAAAGAAGAAGAAAAAAAATGTATGGACAGATGTCTTCTCTAGTATGGAATGCCAAAGCTGACTTAATTAAAAATAAATAAATACATAAATAAATAAATATACGAAGAAATGCAAAAAAGCAAAAATACATAAATAAATATACAAAGAAATGTAAAAAAAAATACAAATAAATGAGTATTTATACTTTTATTTCCCTATTTATGTATAATTGTATTTTTTTCACACATTTTTTATTTTTTATTTATACATTTATTTATTTCCACTTTTATTTATTTCCACATTTATTTATTTATACATTTATATATTGTATTGTATTATATAAATTGATTTCCAGGGGCGATCAGCATCATATACTGCATGTCCAGTTCTTAATATTAATCGATAAACTACTCAGTTATTATAATAATAAGGCCTTATTAAAAGTCAAAATCTTAATACAGAGGAGAATGTTTTTACACTGCAATTACAATTGCATAAAAGTCGTTATGAGATTAATGTTAAAAATAAAACATTTGAATATAGAAATATGAAATGATGGAATCAATTAAATTGTACGTTTAAATATGAAACTAAAACAGCCAGTAGGTGGCGTTAAGTCACTGTCTTAAACGAGTGAGTCATATCATTAATTCAGACTGATTCATTCAAATACTGATTCATTCAGTTCGGGGAAAAAATTATAATAAAATTATCTCATACATGGGCTTTTTTACAGCATTTTTAAATGCTGACATTTTTTATTAATGTTGGTGCCACGTCGCCCCGCCATAATTTTGATACCTGAGCTGTACAGTTGAACATAAAACGTGGTGTTTTTCCCTGAAGTTCAGTATTTGAATGAATCGGTCTGAATTAATGATATGACTCACTCGTTTAAGACAGTGACTTAACGCCACCTACTGGCTGTTTTAGTTTCATATTTAAACATACAATTTAATTGATTCCATCATTTCATATTTCTATATTCAAATGTTTTATTTTTAACATTAATCTCATAACGACTTTTATGCAATTGTAATTGCAGTGTAAAAACATTCTCCTCTGTATTAAGATTTTGACTTTTAATGACTTAATGACTTTTGTTAATTTTATTTTACTGATAACAGCCATAGTGCCTTATTATTATAATAACTGGGTAGTTTATCGATTAATATTAAGAACTTGACATGCAGTATATGATGCTGAACGTCCCTGGAAATCAATTATATAATACAATAAAATATATAAATGTATAAATAAATAAATGTGTAAATAAATAAATGTATAAATAAATAAATGTATAAATAAAAAATAAAAAATGTGTGAAAAAAATACAATTATACATAAATGAGGAAATAAAAGTATAAATACTCATTTAAAAAAAAAAAATTTTTTACATTTCTTTGTATATTTATTTATGTATTTTTGCTTTTTTGCATTTCTTCGAATATTTATTTATTTATGTATTTATTTATTTTTAATTAAGTCAGCTTTGGCATTCCATACTAGAGAAGACATCTGTCCATACATTTTTTTTGTTCTTCTTTGTGCTGAGTGGTGATTGGAGACCCACAGCCAATCACAATTGACCTTTAATTTTCCGATTGGTTGATTTTGTGGCACACTTGTAACGCTGTTGCAAGTTGAGCGCGCGTGTGTATCAAGAGTTGAGCGCGCGTGTGTCAGGAGTTGAGCGCGCGTGTGTCAAGAGTTGAGCGCGCGTGTGTATCAAGAGTTGAGCGCGTGTGTGTCAAGAGTTGAGCGCGCGTGTATCAAGAGTTGAGCGCGCGTGTGTCAAGAGTTGAGCGCGCGTGTGTCAAGAGTTGAGCGCGCGTGTGTCAAGAGTTGAGCGCGCGTGTGTATCAAGAGTTGAGCGCGCGTGTGTCAAGAGTTGAGCGCGCACAGAATTAAGAGGTTGAGAGAGAGAGAGAGGAACTTGACAGGAGCGCAGAGAATAAGTTTGTGAGAGAGCACCTGAGTAAACTGCGTGAGAGGGGTTATTATTGCACGTTAATATGGATAATAGCAAATACATTTATTGAGCACGGAATCGTTTTTTCTTTGCTCAAACGAATTTTTTTTTTGCGATTGTTAATTTCTGTTCAAAATATAATGCAATGTGCTTGCAAAATATAGTTCTCTGTGCTCAAAACGTACAATTACTCGCTCAGGAATGAGGCACATATATAACGCCATACAACACCAGCAGCTGACATGGCACCCCAGACCATCACTGACTGTGGGTACTTGACACTGGACTTCAGGCATTTTGGCATTTCCTTCTCCCCAGTCTTCCTCCAGACTCTGGCACCTTGATTTCCGAATGACATGCAAAACTGAGCAACAGTCCAGTGCTGCTTCTCTGTAGCCCAGGTCAGGCGCTTCTGCCGCTGTTTCTGGTTCAAAAGTGGCTTGACCTGGGGAATGCGGCACCTGTAGCCCATTTCCTGCACACGCCTGTGCACGGTGGCTCTGGATGTTTCTACTCCAGACTCAGTCCACTGCTTCCGCAGGTCCCCCAAGGTCTGGAATCGGTCCTTCTCCACAATCTTCCTCAGGGTCCGGTCACCTCTTCTCGTTGTGCAGCGTTTTTTTGCCACACTTTTTCCTTCCCACAGACTTCCCACTGAGGTGCCTTGATACAGCACTCTGGGAACAGCCTATTTGTTCAGAAATTTCTTTCTGTCTTACCCTCTTGCTTGAGGGTGTCAATGATGGCCTTCTGGACAGCAGTCAGGTCGGCAGTCTTACCCATGATTGCGGTTTTGAGTAATGAAACACGCTGGGAGTTTTTAAAAGCCTCAGGAATCTTTTGCAGGTGTTTAGAGTTAATTAGTTGATTCAGATGATTAGGTTAATAGCTTGTTTAGAGACCTTTTTCATGATATGCTAATTTTTTGAGACAAGAATTTTGGGTTTTCATGAGCTGTATGCCAAAATCATCAGTATTAAAACAATAAAAGACCTGAAATATTTCAGTTGGTGTGCAATGAATCTAAAATATATGAAAGTTTAATTTTTATCATTACATTATGGAAAATAATTAACTTTATCACAATATGCTAATTTTTTGAGAAGGACCTGTATTTTGGATCATTTTTAACCCAAAAATGTTACGGACTGCAGCTTTAAGTAAAATTATTAAGTTTTACTAAATTAAAATAAATGATTACAATTATTTTAGTTAAAATATTTAAAGTATTTATTAAAATTATTGAAGCCTCTTTGGGTCTTCTCCACACTGTAACTCCCACGGATGTGAGAAAGACAGTGAAGGTGGACTCATTAGAGAACAATTTATGTTTTACATTGTCCACAGTCCAAGATTTGCTCTGTTGGACCCAATGAAACAAACATTTGGCATTGGCACGAGTGACTAAAGGTTTGGCTATCTCAGCCCGACCATCAATACTGACTCTGTGGATCTCTTGACTAACAGTTTTGGTGGAGAGTCGAGGTTTAATTCTGCAGTGACTTAGTCAGCTGTGGTTTTATGATTTTTGGATACAATCCGGGTTAGTACCTGGACATCCCTTTCAGACAGCTTCCTCTTGCATTGACAGTGGTTCATCCTACATGGTGGTATACCGACATTACCACAGCTCTCAATACACCTCAAAGAATTGCTGTCCTGGTCACAGATGAGCCAGCGAGACGCGCAACAACAATTTGCCCTCTTTTGAATTTTGATAGGTCTCCTATTATGTCATGTGGATTGCAATATTTTATGTACAGCTGTGCTATTGCTCTGCTAATCATCCTTCACACTCTGCTCTTACTGAAGGAATGTAAAATAAGTGAAGATTGTGAAACCTCCAACACTATATTGGCCAGTGTTTCATTCTCATTGCCCAAACACCGTATATCATAAATCAAAAATCCTTAGCGCATGTCACATTCAGAGCACAAGTTTTGGCTGATTCTGAAAATGCTCCATGTTTAACTCATGGAATGTGTTTACTTCCTCTCAGGTTCATAATCTAGTTGCAATCGAGTTGGCCTATATAAACACCAAACATCCTGATTTCACAGACGCTGCCCAAGTGTCTGCATCTGTCAACAGCCAGCAGGTACTAAAACTCTCTCTCTCTCTCTCTCTCTCTCTTCAAATCCACACAGGATTAGTCTTTGTTTTATCGTCTCTTTCGCAGGCGGAGGCAGGGGATGGAGGGAAGCGATGGAAGAATGAGAAGATGCCGTCGGAGGAGAAAGGCCCCTTGCCTGGGTTTGGAAGCCCCACCAAAGCCGTCAACCTGTTGGACACGGTATGGCTTTGCTATCTCAAAAGTACAGAAGCCAACTGTACCTGCACATTTGAAGAAAAACCAGGAAAGAACAACAACTTTTGGATATTTTTCTGTAGGCCGTGCCAATATCCCGCAAACTAAGCACACGAGAGCAGAGGGACTGCGAGGTCATCCAACGGCTCATCAAGTGCTACTTCCTGATCGTGCGCAAGAGCATCCAGGACAGGTCAGCACCTGTGTGTGTGGGAGACAAACTACTGAGTGACCAGGAGCATCTGATCTCTTTTTTTTTTCTTTTTTTTCTGCAGTGTGCCAAAGACGGTGATGCATTTCCTGGTGAATTTCGTGAAAGAGAATTTGCAGAGTGAGCTGGTCGGTCAGCTCTACAAACAGCGTCTTCTACAGGAACTGCTCATCGAGTCTCAGGAAACCGCTCAGCAGCGCACAGAGGTTGCACAGATGCTGGAGGTACGTGTTGTGTGCGTGCGGCGTACATATACGCCTCATGAAGCAGGTGTGAAGAGATAATGAAAACATCTGAAAAATACATACTAGGTTTTATTACAGGAACCACATTTTGCAAATGGGCCAAGACGAACAAAAGATATTTCGTTTTTGAGCAGTCACAAGTATAAATGCAAAGGATTTTTGTTTTCAGTTAATACTGGTAATTCTCAGATGATATGTTTTTGTATAATTTGACATTTCAAAGAATTTTTCTTTTTTTTTATTAATAAAAATGTAGTAATAACATGGTAATAACACGGTAACATTCAAAACATTGAAATGTTTGCACTTTTTAATGAGTTATTAATCAGATGCAATATGGTTATAGTATATAATATATTATATAGACTCATTACATGCAAAGTGAGATATTTCAAGCCTTTATTTGTTATAATTTTGATGATTATCTCACTTTGCATGTAATGAGTCTATATAATATATTAGTTTCACCTTTTAAGTTGAATTACTGAAATAAATTAACTTTTACACAATATACAATTTTTTCGAGTTTCACCTGTTTATGTGTGTGTATATATATATATATACACTCACCTAAAGGATTATTAGGAACACCATACTAATACTGTGTTTGACCCCCTTTCGCCTTCAGAACTGCCTTAATTCTACGTGGCATTGATTCAACAAGGTGCTGAAAGCATTCTTTAGAAATGTTGGCCCATATTGATAGGATAGCATCTTGCAGTTGATGGAGATTTGTGGGATGCACATCCAGGGCACGAAGCTCCCGTTCCACCACATCCCAAATATGCTCTATTTGGTTGAGATCTGGTGACTGTGGGGGCCATTTTAGTACAGTGAACTCATTGTCATGTTCAAGAAACCAATTTGAAATGATTCGAGCTTTGTGACATGGTGCATTATCCTGCTGGAAGTAGCCATCAGAGGATGGGTACATAGTGGCCATAAAGGGATGGACATGGTCAGAAACAATGCTCAGGTAGGCCGTGGCATTTAAACAATGCCCAATTGGCACTAAGGGGCCTAAAGTGTGCCAAGAAAACATCCCCCACACCATTACACCACCACCACCAGCCTGCACAGTGGTAACAAGGCATGATGGATCCATGTTCTCATTCTGTTTATGCCAAATTCTGACTCTACCATCTGAATGTCTCAATAGAAATCGAGACTCATCAGACCAGGCAACATTTTTACAGTCTTCAACTGTCCAATTTTGGTGAGCGCTTGGAAATTGTAGCCTCTTTTTCCTATTTGTAGTGGAGATGAGTGGTACCCGGTGGGGTCCCATCCGCCTCAAGGTTGTGCGTGTTGTGGCTTCACAAATGCTTTGCTGCATACCTCGGTTGTAACGAGTATTTATTTCAGTCAAAGTTGGTCTTCTATCAGCTTGAATCAGTCGGCCCATTCTCCTCTGACCTCTAGCATCAACAAGGCATTTTCGCCCACAGGACTGCCGCATACTGGATGTTTTTCCCTTTTCACACCATTCTTTGTAAACCCTAGAAATGGTTGTGCGTGAAAATCCCAGTAACTGAGCAGATTGTGAAATACTCAGACCGGCCCGTCTGGCACCAACAACCATGCCACGCTCAAAATTGCTTAAATCACCTTTCTTTCCCATTCTGACATTCAGTTTGGAGTTCAGGAGATTGTCTTGACCAGGACCACACCCCTAAATGCATTGAAGCAACTGCCATGTGATTGGTTGATTAGATAATTGCATTAATGAGAAATTGAACAGGTGTTCCTAATAATCCTGGTGTGTAAAAGCCTAGAAGCTTGGCTTTACAGTGAATATAGGGAATATGACCATCAGTTCACAAGTGCTTTTGAGTTTGCTAACATATTAGAAGTCCTCTATCCTTTTCCTATCCTTCGGCCAAAATCTCATGTTGTAAAAGATGAAGTGTTGCACAGGCTATTTAAGACTGTTTACTGACTATAACTTGATGACAAATACTAGAATAAGACACTCTTCTCTGCTTCTCAAATACATGAAACTTTAGCCTTTATAGACATGTTGTGTCTTGAGCAAAGAAAACGACTTATTCAAACAAACAGTTTTTTTTTTAATTTATGCTTGCATTGCAAACAAGCAGAGACGGTCCAAAATGCGTGTGGCACTTCATGCTCAATAAAGGCGGGGCGGAGATATGAGGTTTTATCGACAGTTCGAGGATCCAGTGGAATTAAGAGGTTTAGTCAAAAGCTCTTTTTAAAACATTTCAATGGTTAAATCTTTGCAAAAGCCATAGACAGACGTAAAGGGTGACCAATAGTAATGATTTATGAAAAAAAAAGACAAAATATGGAGAAGATACGAGGTTTCAGCCCAACATTGACGAGATGTTTTTTTATGCAGTGTCCTTTGTGTTACCAACGCTGCTCTTTCTGACTCCTCCTCTTTTAGGCCCTCAAGAAAGCCAGTAACATCATCTCAGAGATCCGCGAGACTCATCTTTGGTAGCCAAACGTTCTCTTGAACATTCTGTCCAGGAAAGTGTTTACATGTTTGTGTGTGCGGTATGTGTGAGTGAATGACATAGTTCAAATATCTGAAGAAATTCAATGCCTCTGCCAGCATGAACATTCAACAAAATCTGTACAGTTTTTCCAAATGCTCTTTATTTCTACTGTATATGCACTGATTACATAACTCTGTGTGTGTGTGCGTGTGCGTGTGCGTGCGTGTGTGTGTGTACTCGGTAGCTCAGATATAGTCAACATATCAAGTCCATGTCATCTTCTTCAACATTGTTTCTTAAAGGTTTTTCGAGATTATGACAATTCCTCTTTCTTTTAATATTATCCGAATTGAGTAATGTCTCACATGGTACTAAGGACGTCCCAAGACCAGTCTTAACACCAAATCGAGCTCTCATAAACTCACATGACCAATGAAAAAAAGTTGGAAATTCAAATTATTTTCATAATTTACTCACCATGTTATTCAAAACCTGTGTGACGTTCTACTGTATCTGCTATTTGGAGATGTTTTGAAGAATGTCCACGCTGCTTTTTACATTCAGTGAAAACATTTTGTGCATTCAAGCTCCAAAAAGGACTAAAAGCATCATAAAGGCACCATAAATCATCATAAAACTAGTCCATCTGTGACATTCAATAGTTTTGTGTAAGGGACAGACTGAAATTTAAGCCATTATTCACTGAATGTGGATGTGGAATGACACGACTGTGTGAGAGTAATTAATAACAGATATTTTTTTGAGTCAACTACTCGATTAATATGCTGTAAATATGATGTTATTTAAGTGGTGTCCAGCTTTACAGTAAATCTAGACCCGCCCCTTTATTAGATTCGGTCGAACTCATGCATGCTTGTACGGTTGTACACTACTCTACATAAGAACCTAAGTTATGTCATTTTTAGGGCTGTGCAACTATTAATCGCATCCAAAATAAAAGTTTGTGTTTGCATAATATATGTGTGTACTGTGTATAATATACACACATGCATGTATATATTTAAAACAAATGTGTTATATATAAACAGTATATACATGCAAATATTTCTTAAATGTAAACATGCATATGTGTGTATTTATGTATACAAAATAATTACACACACATATATTATGTAAACACAAACTTTTATTTCGGATGCGATTAATAGTTGCACAGCCCTAGTTATTTTACAGCAAATATAATATTTGATCACGTGAGTGAGATAGATGAAAGAAACCCAATCATCTATCATGTTACATTTATAATAATGAATGATGTAACCCGTGAGTGATGTCTAGACATGGTGCAAATAAACGGCAGCGCATTGTGATGAGCCATAGAACAAAGAGCCATTGTGTTTAGTTGTGCTCTGAAACACTTCAAACCACGCTTGGATGTGCCGAAGACTTGACTGCCATGTAATATTTATGCTTGTATGAATATTTATTGTACGCCTGTGTCAAAGAAAGTCAAATGAGAAAGAACAAAGTAATGAAAACATTCCAACTGAATGGCTGTTTGAGGCATTGAACACCAAGAATGAAAAGAGTGTTTAGTGTCAAATTAAAAAAGGTGCAAAATTTAAACACAACACAAATGTTGCCAGTGGGGCTTTAGAGAATTTGTTAGTTGTTGTATTGCCAATATTAATCTATGTGTTTATTTTGGGGGGCAATGTCGCATAATTTTGCATTGATTTCTTGTGTTGGGACGCAGTGTAAACATGGCGCTCCTCTACCAACCAATCAACCGTAAAACATAGACGTTCCAGAAAGGGCGAGAGAAGCTATAGGAGTTATTGAAAATAATAGAAACCTATTTATACACATTGTCAAATACTTGATAATGTAATAAGCATGCATTTCTTGTTGACCTCAAACTTGATACCGCTAAATTGTGCCCTGCCTCATATTTGTAGAGTATTCCACTGGATATGTGTGAGTATGCGCTGTAGAGATGTAATAAATGCAAGAGATTTGAGCAAGTTGCGAGCGTGGTAAGATCCGTATAAAACAGATCTGAATGAGCCCCGATGCAATCTCAGCACTGATCACATGATGCTGTGTGTTTGCTGAAGCACTGAATCTCTTCCTAAATCGTCTCGAGCATTTGAAGGAATCTTACGGAACCTGTCAATAACATATTCAGGTCAAGAAAGCATCAGCAAAGCCTATCTTTAAGAACATTACGGTTTTGCACTGCAACGTTATTTTCTTCACAATTAAGCACATTTTGCCAAATTCCCATCGCATTAATGTAAGAAAACATCATGGTAACTGTGGTAATGAGAAACATATTTTATAACTTGCTTTATGGCTAGCAAGATATAAAATCTTTTTCTAATTACCATAGGCCCAAGCTGATTTTTTACATGCATTTTTTAATTCTCTTTGCTATTTGGGCTTATTAGAACCTAATTAGAATAAAAACTAAGAATCATCTTTTGATATGATGTACTTTTAGAGAAAAATGATGTCCACATATGTGGACTCATGGTCCGAATTTCCATAAAACACAATAAAGTCACCTTTGTGTAATAGAATGAAAAACCCTTTATTTCTGCCTTGAACACAGCAGTTTTTTTCCTGACTGTTTTTTAATGTATTAATAACACATACACACATATTTTTTAACATGTTTTGACTATCAGAGAGTAAAAACAACATGGAAACATTGCAATATTTAAAAATGTATACGATGGTTAATAGGGAGCCAATGCAATGTTGACATAACCGGGCAATATGGTCATACTTCCTGGTTCTGGTAAGAACTCTAGTGGCTGCGTTTTGAACCAGCTGAGGTTTGTTTATTAAGCGTGCAGGGCAACCACCCAGTAGAGCATTACAATGATCTAGCCTTGATGTAATGAACTAACTGTTCCACATTTTTCATTGAAAGCACATGACGTAATTTAGATTTTTTAGTTTTAAAGTTGGTAATTGCTAGTCATCCAGTTTTTATATCAGCAATGCATTAGGTTTTTTTGTATTGGCAAGTTTCGTCGGGCGTGAAGAAATATAGAGCTGAGTATCATCAGCATAACAGTGAAAACTAATGCCATGCTTCCTAATGATATCTCCCAAGGGGAGCATGTATAGAGTGAACAGCAACGGCCCTAGTACTGAGCCTTCTGCCTTGTGGTACACCATACTGAACTTGTGATCAATAAGACATCTCTAAGGGATCATCGTTATCAGACACATCCAAATCTGTGTTATCTCCATCAATTAACCCAAAGTAGCTCCAATGCTCTTTGCACAGAAAAACGCTCTGGAAATAAAAACATGATAAAATCAAATACAAATTAATTTAATTTATGTAGGTTTGCATTATTTATTTGTTATTTATTCCAATGGGATAATATACAAGCTAATTTACATGTGCACATTTTTACTAGCATATTACATTTTTACTAACATTTTCAACCCAACTAATTTAAGTATGTACGTATGCATTTAGTGATTTAATTGTTATTTATGTCATTGGGACCATGTGCACCTTTTTAGCTGCATCAGAGCTAGCTTTTTTCCCATTTTATGTTTGTGCATGTTTACTAGCATATTAGCTGTTTCGAGGAGCTTCAGTCCATAAGTACACATACGTGTACTTCATGTTTAGCGACCTACAAAGTTGGTAGTTTTGCACTTTTTTTTCAAATTTGCATGTCATGACAAATATACAAGGCTTTTATAAATATCTAAATCAGAATAAGCCATGAAATATGACAGAACTTCTTAACTGGTCGACGTTTGTGTATGGAGCTACCACTTGAATCTTTCCTTGTGTTTGCCGCCATTTTGAATTTTGACCATAGTGTGTTATAAATTTCTGACACTACCAGATGGCAGTATAAGTACCCCCATACGTGTCCATAACACCACCAATTCAGCAGTGAACACAATTGTGGACATAAGAGCAAAAATGTGCTGTCCACGTATGTGGCCACTAAGCCCTAGGAGGTTAAAGCAATAAAAAAAACTCTTTCCTATTACTGTAATAATAATAAAAAAAGAAAGCCTAATTCTCATTACCACAATGTCAGGTAAAAAAAATTCAAATTTCCATAATTCAGGAAAATAAATCTCATTATCATAATGCAAGGGAAAAAATCTTACTCTCAATACTGTAATAAAAGAACAAATGCATTCTCATTACAATAATGTAAGAACAAATGATCATTCTCATTACTGTAATGCACGAAAAATCTTATTCACAATTATGTGGGATTTTTTTTACTTTTGAGATTATTATTATTTTCAATAGTCTCGTTAATATGATTAAAAATTTTGGATTTTTTTATAATTTTTATTTTATTAGTTTATTACTGTCATTAACAAACGGCTTCAAAAACATAAATTGAACCCAGTACGACAAATCCTACCCTAATGTCTTAAATATAATTTGACATTCCATTAATGAGAATTTGAGAGGAAATGTCCTTAATTGTTTTGAAAATAATGTAGTCCAAAAAAAAATAAAAAAATAGGCTTGATTTTCGTTATGCAAAATCTCATTTCTAATTCCTGTCTTGACTTGTGAAATGCGACCAGCACAGGCTTTATGAAACAGTGTCAATCTCCCTCGAGTCCGAAGTGGCGTCTCAACTACCTGTGTGTTTATCACTCTTTCATAGTTGTCAAGTGTGCTTAAAGAAAAGTGTATTTTACTCATTCAGCCGTCCTGTTGAGCATGTGTCCGCATCCACACGTGTGTTTGTGTGAAAGAGTAATTGTACGTGTGGGAGTTTCGCCGTGAATCATTTGAAATAACTTGCCATTTCTTGACGGATGCCTTTAAGAGCCCGCCTGCCATTTTATTTTTGTGATTCATGTTGATGTACTGTTCACTGTTCAGAAGAACATTAAAATCAAATGAAAGCCTCTCCTCTTTTCCCTTATTGAAAGCAGCAATACAGATTTTTCAATAGTGTGCAGATCTCACATTATTCTCGTTACAGTCACACCGAATAAATGCTTTTTCTTTGCACTTACAGTATCTGTGCTGCTGAAATGAAAAAAGTAGCAAGTCATTTCCTTCTACAAAGTCACACATTTTATCAGCTTGCTCTGATTTTCTTTTTCAGGCGAATGCCTACAGGCACTAAAATGTGTAGTCAAATCTTGACTTGTTCTTTTAGATAATGCGAAGCAGGAAAACAGTAACTCTCTTTTCAAAATCGTTATGCTCCCACATGTTCTGTTTGGGGCGAGAGAAGCTTTTACGTATATTTATAATCTGCATAATTCTGAAATAAATAACATTTCTGAAGTAAAATGGATTTCCAATCTTTAAGTATAACATTGACCAACATTACAATCTCTAATAAGAAGAACAAAACTTCAATAATATATATATCTACTTGGTTTAATTAGGTCAGACGAACA